AATATTTAACAAACGGCGGAGGAACTGCGGTTCCAATTCGTGTCTGTAACAATTTTTTATATATAATCCTTCGGTCCCAAAAAACGGTGGGGGTATCAGCATAAATAGATGTCTTAAAAAAGAGGGAGGAGGCTGAAAAACAAGAAGGAAAAAAGTAAAGATGGAGCGCAAGTATAATCTGTGGCCATTTTGTTTCGGGGATTCAACAAAATTTCTTTTTAAAAAGAAAACATTGATACAAAAACGTCGTCGTTTTCACTGCTAGGAATAAAATAAGAGTATAAAAAACGACGTTGTTTGATATCTGGGGAATTTTTTTTACCAAAAATTCAGATTTTTTCTCATTCATTAATTTGAAATTGAATTTATGCATTCTCCTGTTTGCCCCCAATAAGTCACTGACGTCATATCAAGGCCATCCAACGTACGAGATCAATTTGAAGGTAGCCCTGAATATTTCTTGGACATTTAATTTCTTGCCTACTGTGCCTTTATATTAAGTATAAGGATAATATTATTATTTTTGTTTTCATACTTTCATATATATCAATTGTTTTTTTAGATAAAATTATAAATCGAGATATTTTAAATTTCAGTGTTCAGACTTCAGATTTAAACATTTTATTCAGTGTTTAGATTTTGGTTTTTATCAAACACGACAAACTTAATCAATTCAGTACTTATGATTCAGCCTTCAGATTTCAGACTTTATACCCAAATTAAGTTTTATCAAACGGACCCTAAGTATTTAATATTTGAATTACTTATATTTACCATTGAGTCAGAATTCTCCATGAATGTTATTTGTTTTCTTATGTGGTGTCAGTTCAATCAAGTAGAATTTTCCTTTAAAAAAAGTATAATACTTTTATAAGATAGTAAACGGAGTGTTAAGTATGAATATCATTAGATTAATTATATTATTTCATGAATAAAATTTATTATTCCGCCACATATTATTCATGAAAAGGGGCAAGATGGAATTATGATACTAGAAGTTAAAGCACAATTTTTTATTTTCCAAGGTAGTGCCTTTTTGCCCTTTAGAAGAAATAATCATTAGTTTTCCATGTGATATGCCGAAAAGTGTAGTATCGATTTTTCACATACAAATAAACATGTCACGGTATTGGATGTGAATTATGACAATTATGCTAGGTTAACATTTTCAACTCTTAATTTGATGTCCTTCAGTGTCTCACAGTTAAGGGTATGTTTGTTTTATTTTTTTAGTGTGTGTTTTTAGATGTTTTTTGTATTGAAAATATAAAAAAGTGTATTAAAAATATAAAAAGATATGTTAGAATAAGACAGTTATTATTATAATATTCTGGAAAAAACCATGAGAAAACGAAACAAACAGAGGCTAAGCGTACCACATGATTTGTCTCAGAAAGTGTAGAACTTAATTAAGACTTAAGAGGAGAGGAAAAGCAATAATCATCTGAAGTAGTATCTTTTTCTTTTTTCTCATTTACCGAAACGTGCTAAACTATATTTCCATTTTCTTAAATTTCATTTTTTAATATCCTTTCCGTTTTCATCCAGCCATAAAATAACAGGGAAAAATAAATCATTTTTAACTAATATAGTTTCATATCTAAGGACCAAAAGTAAATATTAATTATTTTTCCCTTTTTTAAAAAATAAAAATATGACCTTTTATTTTGAAATGGAGTATTAGTTTGGTATAACAAAATGACTTGTAAATGTCTTTGTTTATGTGCAAAAATAACAGAAATTTTTTTGAAATAAAACATTACAAAAAATATAATTCTTATAGTTTTGGACGATGGAAGACAGGATTAATAACTTAGCATATGCTAAAAAACGTATGAGTAATAGGTACATGATTTCCCAGTGAAAATATATAGTTTTAGAATTTTGACCTAGTATTATATTGGTGCAGATACAATTATACAACACCCTGTAGGTAGTTTAAACTCGCTAGCTTTACAATTAGCTTCACTCTAGCTGATTTTAATGTTTAATTTATAGTTATTTGGAATGTGTAATTTTGAGTATTTTACTTGGATATGTTTAACTTATACAATTATTTGGAATATGGAATTTTGAGTATTTTACAATATACTCTCTCCTTCTAAAAAAAATTAAAATGGTTGAACTAAAATTCATAAATTGGAATTTTTTTTATTAGGACTCGTAGAATATGTAAGAAAAAACTATAAAACCGTATAATAAAAATATAAATAAACCATCTAACAGTAAAAAAAAAGAAAAGAAAAAGAAAAGAAAGCATAAAGTAAAACACGTGATAAAATAATCGTGACCAGGTCTCATGTCAACAAAATGATGAACAAAAGCAACCAAGTAATTTCAGGGGAAAAAAAAAAGAAAAGAAAAGAAAAAATAAAAGGGTTGGAAAAAAGTCAGGCAAATTATTTTTAATTGCATTAACATTAATAAATAAAAATTCCAGTGATTGACACAGCGGGGCCCAACGCGTCGGTTTTTTCCTTTGTCGTTTTGTGATGAATCATCATCACTCGCCAAAAGTTCAAAAGCGAAACTGGAGAAAGGATTCCCTTTCTGTCAAAAGCAAAAAATAATTATTTTATTTGTATTTCTAATAAAAAAGACAAAAAAAGACATAAATAACACAATTATACTTTTTTTTTGGCCCAATTTCCTATCCAAAAATTTTTTATTTCTCGTTAATCATTTCTACCATAACTTTTGTCTATCTGCTCCCAATTTATAAAAGATAATAATAGTTATAAAAAATGTAATTGACATATTCTTCCATTATAAATATTTCCCCTTTTTATGGTATACATATTAATATTATATACATGAAACGGTTATTATTTGGCATGATCTAGTAGGTTGCAAGAAGTACGTAATACATTTTTTGTGGTGATAATTCATTGCACCAAGTCAAGCGTGCTAAAAAATATTACTCCCCGTCCCATAATTATTGTCCAGTTTGTGTTTTCATTTCTAGTTCAAATTATACTAAAAGTAAAATTTCAAATTGACAATAATTTTGAGAGGTAAGGAATAATATAAATTAGATAAATTAGATAATTAGAATGAAAATACATACATAACGTTATCAATCTTGTTGATCTCGTTTAGAGAAAACAAAAAAATGAAGAAAACTTTATAAACTATTCCCTTCGTCTCATAATTATTGTCCAGTTTGAGTTTTCATTTCTGGGTCAATTTGTGTTAAAAGTAAAATCTCAAACCGGACAATAATTTTGGGACAGAGGGAGTATTAAATAATAGGGGAATGGTTTATCTATTGTGAATGTTTATTGTTTGAAGTACAAATAGGTTGTTTTTTTTCCCCCCTTTAACCTAAATGACGCCGGTTTGTTTTAACTTTTAAGTGAGGAAATATACATTTATACACATTAGCTAAAAATTCAATAAGTCAATATACTAGACTCTATAAACTATATTTAATTATTCTAACACCGCCGCCCCCTCCCCGCCCAAAAAAAAAAGGAGTTTAATTTGAGGTAAAAAAATTCCACTCTTTTTGGGGTAAAAAATCCACTCTTCGAATTTTATCTCAAATTTTATATAAACGATTGTGTGCTTTCTTTTTTCAAGATATATTTATCTCACTATGGGAAAATAGGACTCGTGGTTGAGAAATAGGAGTATTTATGATTTTTGAACAAAAGACTCCTACCGTGCATAATAAAGTAGTTTTGGTACTAAAACGATTTTACCTTGTTTACCAAAAGAAAAACGATTTTACCTTCAAAACTTTTGTCCTTTGTCACAAAATGACTGTTTACTTATTATATTTTATTTTGAGATAAAAAAGTATTACTGTATTAGTTATCCTTCAAAATGTGGCAATTGGAAATTGACTGAAAATTTATTTCTAAATTGACTGAACAAGACTGCATTTATGACTCTTTTTTTTTAAGAAAAAGAAATTCGAATAATGCATTTAAAGGAGCTTACTTGCCCATGAAGTTGTGTACGTATTTATTTTCTTTACCTGGCATGACTAGCTACTTATCCTCAGATGTATTTCATCGATAAAAAAGGCTACGTACAGTTTCAAACATCTGAGAATAATAAGTACACCTTTTTTTTTTTTGAAGATGGAGAAATAAACTTGCTAATATAGATGGAATGCACTTCAATTTTCATAAAAAAATTCCTTCACTACAGTGAGCTAATAGTTTTTGTCACTGATAATTTATTTAGAAAAAAAAATGTTGATGGAATGATTTAAAAATTGTTTAATTAATGAGTTATCAACTACGTTCTCATATCTCAGAGAAAAAAAATAGCAGCGAATATTTTTTTCCTCTACATAAATTATCATTATGTAGAAAGTTCTTACTTTAAACGAATGTAGTAATTAAGTTTTAATATGATTACACATGATTTTACTTATAGTGGGTGTAAGAAAACAATAAACCATGAGACATCAAATATCATCAATTAAATTAGTAAATTAAATATCCCATGTCCTTTTTTTTGGCTTATGTAAAAAAAAAAAAAAAAAATCTAGTCCGATTTCTCACCGTGGTTGAGTCACTGTTTAATTTCCACCTAAATTTGTTTGATAAAATTAGTACTTAATTCTGAATGCTAAATACTAAATTAGAAATGCTAAATTTATAAAATATTTATGAAATAAGCAATAAACTAACTTTTATTGCTTATATTTTGTACTGAAGTTTTAGTACCACTAGATTAATTAAGAGATTTACTTTTGTTATCAAACATGTTGAATATAAAAAAAAGTTTGATCTAATAATTTTAAGCATTAAGTGCCTTTAGTAAACATGCTGCCGAGCACCGGACATTTGTTAACACATATTATTGAAGTAAAAAATACAAATGTTTTAAAATAAACTGTATTAAGAATTTAAAATTAATTCTAAAATAAAAATTAGTGATAAAAATAAGAAAAGAAAAGCTGACCTTTAGCCAGTTAAACAGTTAAAAATTTTGAATAGAAAAAACAAAGGGAGAGCTGAAACTATTATTACAACTAGACAAAGAAAAGGCGGAGAAAGAGAGAAAGAGTAGTAACTGAGAAGGCTCTCCTCTCCTCTCTCCCTCTTCTGCTCTGATTTTGATGCAAATGTAGAGAGAGAGATACAAAAACAAAGAGAAAACAGTAGTACTGAGTACTCAACAAGTTTCACACACACACACACACACACACACACACACACAAAAATGAAAAAAACACACAGTCACACAGTAAGGTAAACAAGTAATAGTCCTCCCTTTCAACCCTTTATATACATACACCCACTGCTATTTTTCTTTTCACAGCATTTGGGTCCTTTCCCTTTTTTCAAGTCTCCTCCCAAACCTTCCTCTTCTTCTTCTTTCTTCCTCTGAGAAGCTTCTAGAGGAGAAAGATTTAATTCTACACCAGTGAAAGAAGTCATAGGAAGAAAAAAAAAAAAAAAATCCCAGGTGAGCTGTCTCTATTTTGTTTTTATTTTTTAACCTTTTATTTGTTCCTTCTGTTCTTGAAACCATGTTAGAACTTTTGGTGGTACTACATTTTTTGTGAAAATTACTGTCTTGATGTTTCTTGATGATTCGAGATGGTACATTTACTGCAAGTTGTGATTTTTTAGCTTCCGGGCTTATAAAGTTTGGATTTTTATGATCTTTTTGTTTGATTTGATTAATGTTTTGGCGAGCATATGGTGTTTATGTGAATGAATGTGGTTGATTTGTGAAGATGGTTGCTTGTTTGGATTCTGATTTTTTGCATTGGAGAAATTTTTTGGGGGTTTTGGTTGTGGATTTTGGATTCGATTTTAAAGCTATTTCTTGGAAATTAATCCTTTTACATCATCAATTCAATCTAGAAAGGAATGTTTTCCTGCTCAAATAGGCATTGTTCATATCTCATGTATTAGGCTCCCAAACAAATAAGAGTGGGTAAAACTTCCAGTTAGCATTGTTTTGGCTAATTTTCTCAGTAATTGGCATTCTCTCTGTAGTGGGGATTTTTTTCCCCTCTGTCAATTAATTGAATTTATTGCTTCATTAAAGGGTGCTTAGTTGGTCAATAATTGATGGTCTCGAGTTTAAATGCATTCTGCTATCGTTCTGTTTGTTTTTATCCTCATCTAGATATTTATTCTCACTTTGAGATTACGATTAATGATAATGCAGATACCGGTGGTGGACTAAAAAATATTAGTCCAAAAGTGTGTGGTTTGGTATAATGCTGAGAAAGAGAACCAGATCACATCAGAAAGATCATCTTATGGGTCACCTAAACCCTGATGTTGCTTCAGAATCCTATTTTCAAAATGAACTTCTGGCTGATGAACATAAAAATACTTCCTTTTTTAACGTGCCTGGTTTATTTGTTGGGTTCCATATCAAGAGTTCGGAATGTGATTCAGTTAGAAGCCCAACTTCCCCTCTTGATTTTAGAGCATTTTCGAATTTGGGCAGTCCCTTTAGGTCTCCAAAAGCATCCCAGGTGGGCAATCATCACAAAATGTGGGATCACAATAAGGTAGGTCTAAGCATCGTAGACTCTCTTGACTATGAGACTGAGAAATCAGGGAAAGCTTTGCGAGCTTCCGATAGTAAAACCATTCTTTTTGGCCCCCAAATGAGGATCAAAATACCAAATTCTCACAAGGGTACTGTTTTGTTTGAGTCACCTAAATCCTTGCCCAAGGGTGTTGGCATCTTCCCTAGTGCAAATTCCAAACCTTCTAACCTTCAAAAGGGAAGCTCTGATGTTTTGTTTCATATTGGAGAGTCCCCATTTGATCTGAATTCAGAAGGGAATTTTCGCCCTTGTTCGTTAGACTCTGTTAGGCCTGCTTCACATCTCAGTCGCTTTGCAAACCAAAATTTGAATCAGGGCAGTGGAAATTTTGCTTTGGAAAATGGTAAAGACCCTCTTATTCCTGTCTCGCATTATAACATAGGGTCCGTACCAGTTAAGTCTTCACATGCAGAACAGTTTTCAGATCCTGCATCTGTTGTTAATAGTCTTATTGATACCATATCCCCTCGTGAGATTGAGCTTTCTGAGGACTATACTTGTGTGAGAAAACATGGCCCTAATCCAAAAGTAACTCATATATTTGGTGACTGTATTTTGAAATGTCACGATGATGAGTTCGCAAATTTTGACAAATATAATAAATTGGGAGCTCCATCAGCATATTCAGCTGAGTGTGCTAAAGTTCCCGCTTCATATCCTTCTAGTGACTTCTTGAGCTTATGCTACTCATGCAAGAAGAAACTGGACGGGGAAGATATATACATGTATAGGTAAGCTGTGTTCACTATCTAAATTCACTTCATTTCATTGTTTCATTCGTTGAACATTTTATCTGACTGTTTTATTTGTGATTTGGCAGAGGTGAGAAAGCCTTTTGCAGCAGCAATTGCCGTCTGCAAGAGATTTTGCTTGATGAAGAGATGGAGGAAAGTGAGAGCAATGTTTTAGAGGGCTCTGCTAAGCCAAGCAACAATGAGAAACTTTTTGAGGCCGGGTTGTTCATTTCTTCCTAAACCCGGCTGAAATTACTGCAAGCATTTGACCGATCCAATTGATCTTTGAAATGTGCAATTTAGGAAAGACAAACAAGATCATCTGTTTATCAAGAGCTGTGAATGTGCATCTTATTGGCAGCCATGGATGATCATCTGTGCTTTGTCTTAAGGCAACCCGCATTGAACATCTAAGCCCTTCCGCTGGATAATATGTAGGTTCCAGCAAATTTTGTATTTTCGGAATAATATTGTTTTTAACATGGTTTATATAACAGCAATACCTAATGGAGGGTGGTAGTAGCCCATTTTTGTGGCTCCCCGAATTTTTGGCTCCCTGGTTCTCATGTATATAAGGTTTTTTTTTTTTTTTTTTAAATCATTAAGTAGTTTTGAATTGATGGCATGAGGATCTACTAAAATAGTTGGTTAAGAGTTTGAAACCTATATAGTGAAAAATGTTATGCCTATCTGCATTTTACATCTCTGGTAACAAATGCTTGCAAGCTGAATAAATTTGTTCTTCTAATCCAGTTCCAGTGCAGTGAATGAGTTCCTCTCTCATTTTAATCTCGTTTTTAATTGCCTATTTCGTTAAACTAATAATGATTTTAGAGTAGGCTATTAAAATTGGGGCTGAAGGACTATTATGTAACAAATTCATAAATGTATAAGTTTTTGGATAGGTTTGGTTGTGTAGAATGAGTTGGGCTCATCCGAATTATTTCTTTGAGTGTTGTCTGCTCCTTCTTAGCTCCATTAGGCTCATTCCAAATGCTCTACTACAAACCTTTATGAGTCTTTTGATGTAAGAAGTCCAGAGTCATTGTTTGTTTCTTTAGGCCTGATCAAATCATACTAATAAAAGAGAGTTAAGAAGGCTACTTATTTAAGACAACCCTTTTCTCCTGAAAATGTCCTCGTTAAGGTTACCTTCCCAAATATGAGTGAAACTAAGGCCGAGCAAATTTGTCAGAGTGAGATAACTAGTGTTAGTGTCTACACCATTTGGTCTACCGTGAATACTCTGAATAATGATAAGCCCACGGGTCAATTCAGATGTATATAGCATACACAGAACAACTTAGCTACAAGCCTACAACAGTGTGGATTCACCATTTAAAGTTCTATCAATGGTAGCAAAGATTCTCGTTCCCTATCTGTTGGTGTAACAACTTACCAGATTGGGATATCTGCACATCATAAATCTAGCACTTGCTAGGATGTTAATACTGTTCAGTACAAATTCTACAGCTTTATTCACCTTGGATAAAAAAAAAACTCAAGGCAATGGTTCCTGGGAATCTCCCAACCGAGACAAATGAAGATAAGCATCAGTACCTGCAGAAGGAATGATTAGTAACACCATACAAGTGACAAAGTTTTGAGAAATAAAACTGACCAAGAAATAGTTGGTTGAATGTTTCTAAACGTTAAATTTCTATTTCATTTAATTCTTTATCATGCAAATGATCCGTCAAGTTTGCTTAACAAGCTGAATTCTTTATCATCTGCACTAGAAGTTTATACTGTCCCGCATAATTTCAATCCCAGATGCAAGTTATGCTAACACCACACAACACAGACCTACACAGCTCTTCTTTTTCGTAGAATAGTATTTGGTAGCGTCTCTTATGTCTCTACTTCCAAAACAAAAGATACAAAAACAATTAAAGGAATGCAATAACTACGTACCATATCCCTCCATAGATATAATTTGCAGATCCCCTCCAAAATACCGAGCATACAAGCGACTTATCGGAAGTCCATATCCAAAACCAGCCATGGTTGCTGTATTGCCGGATCCAAGATCCAAGTCCATGTGCTCGTCAAGAGGGTTCTTCGCTGTACTGTAGAGGTAAGTGAAAATCTTTGGAAGTCCACTTCTTGGTATTCCTCCACCTTCATCAGAAACCTGTTTTAACAAACGAAGAATTTTGTTCAAAACAGCTCAAAGCAAACACAAGTGATTAGAAGACAGGGGAAGGGGGAAAAGTGATTGTAGTTTAAAAAAGCATGCCTTAATAGTAACATCCTCTGCACCATCAGCAACTATAATTCGTATTGGAGGTGCAACCTTGTCAGAGTCCATAAACCGTTCTTGTACAGCACGCATTGAGTTCTTGACCAACTCAAAAACCATCAGATGCAGATGTGTTGGCACATAACTGTAGCCAAATAAAAATAAATTAACAAAGACTGCAAAATGACACAGAAGACCAGTGTTTAGATGTTACAATTCCCACTTGGAATATCTAGTTACATGACAATGAATGGAAAGGTTTTGAAACAAAATCGAATAAGATCCTGAAACAAATCAACCGGGAGAGATTGAATCAAACAGTGGAAGTATGGGGACCAGAACAAAAACTAATTAATCAAAAGAAAGCAACTCACGGAAATGTAAAATTAGGATCCCCATAGATACTAACATCTGGTGCACTTCCATATTCCCTCAAACAGATGGACCGGGCATCTTCGCTGGCACTTCGTGCAACTTCAACAGGAGACATTTTTGTATGTATGTATCCCACACAATCAGGAGGGGGATTGGGATCATGTAATGCCACATGTTGTCCTGAGTTGGCACATGATAAAAAAAAGAATTAGAGAAGACAATTGTTGAGCATAGAGAATACAACGACAAAAAGAAAACACCCATGTTGAATGCACACTATATCTATTCTCTTCTCTTTGTGGTGGTTTTTTTTCGGGGGCTAGAAAAGTGCAAAAGAAGCTGACCTATTAACATGCGGATCCCAATTCTCGACATGTAAAAGCGGTCCAGAAACTGGTGAATGTCATCAAAATGCTCGTAATCCACCTTGGGTTTAAGATCCTTCTTAAGCTGTTGAACTCCCATAGCCATCATGGGAACAACATTGTTGTGCCTTACTTTAATCATGTCGATCATCTGCGTGAATTCCAGTTCGTCATGGTTGTCTTTTATAGCTGGAAAGGATCTAAGATCACTAAAGGAATCCAGATACCAATCTCGCACCTGAGGAAAAATAAAGAACTTTGCCGTCAATAAAATGATTGTTACAAAGTAGCGAGTTCAGCGTTTACAAGACTACCGCTCATCATTATTAACCAAAATCAAATACTTAGGATATCTTTTGCTATTAAACAACTTGATCATCCCTCGGACTAAGGTACATTCAACAAACATCACGGCAGTAGTTTTTACATATAAAATTATATAAAATGTTACACGAAAAAAAAAAAAAATCAGCAGACAAACAGATGAAACCCTGTCCTCTGTGAATTAATTAGGACAATGAAAGTGAGGCACATATAATTCGCCATTGCCATTACTAATACGTCTGCCAAGCACAGAGATTAGCACACCAGATAAAGATGAACAGGGACGAAATTACTAATACATCAGAGGCCAACTCTTTGCCCAAAGAGGAAAAAGAAAGTACAATAACATAAATGCATAAGAGCCTAGGAATAATCACCTTAAATGAAACCTATTGGAAGACACTCAAAAGGAAACTCTACTGTTGGATTAGGTACACAATTATTGACCAAATGAACTCTTTTTACACATAACAACTCACGCAATTTCGCTAACAATGTCACTAAAGAGCGTCATCAGTAAGTAATTCAGGATCACCAGTATCATCAATCCACTGATAACAGCAACAATACATATCATGATGTCGAGAAAGTCAGGGGTTAAAAGGGATTCAACAACAGCAGCTAACATGAACCACACATACATTAAAAAGAAAAGATTAAATAAAGGGACAAAAGGAAATAATAATACTAAAAGACCAAAAAGGTTTTACCTTGAGGACTGCAGGCTTATTGGATAAACCATAAGGGAGGGAGTCAAGCTCAATAGCCCTTCTGGCAATCCTGATGGGCAACTCTTTATGAAGAAACTGAGCAGAAATGAGAAGATTACGAGGGGTGGGACGAGAACCAAACTCCATCATATACCTCAGGCTCACACCCGTCTGCATCATCCCACCCCATTTCTGCACTTGGTCTATCACTTCCTTCTTTGACAGCTTCTCCTGAATCTTCCTCGCCGCCATAAAAAACTATCAATCCTTTCTTCCCTTTTTCTTTTTGTCTTTTGGAGTTTTTTTTTTTTTTTGGCTCCTAACACCACATTAAGAAAAATGGGTTCTTGTTATTTCCTTCGGTTATGACAGAATCGCATGAAAAGTATCGGTTTTTAGCAAATTTAGTTTTGTACGCAAAAAAAAAAAAAAAAAGAAGACAATCAATTCAGTTCCAGATTTGCATTGATGGGTTCCATACAATAACAATAACAGGGGGAAAATTTACATGTTGGCTCAATGATCATGATTTCCCCCTTAATATCAAATATAAATGGACAAGACACAGTTAAAATTCGAGAAGAATTGGAAGAGGAAAAATAAAGAAAAATGCGAGAATTGAGAAGAGAAAGAAAGGGAAAATTGAGGACAGTAAGAAGAAGAGTGCTTGGCTGAAACAAAACAAAAAAAAACTATGGACTACGGAGAACAACAGAAAGAGAAGGAAAAAGAAAAGAAAGAGAGAAAGAAAGAGATAAGTTTAGGTTACGGAAAAAAGAAAAAGGAAAATGACAAATATGGGGTCTGCTCATGAGTCGCCACTTGCCAACTTTAGAAGATTAAACTCATGACTCTCAAGGAAACAAGTAAAAATGAATTACCTTTATACGGGTCTTATAATTCATGGGCTAAATGCACTATGATTTCATGTTCATTTTGTTTTTTTTTTTTTAATTTGGAGAGTAGATTACAGAATATTTATTTTTAAAAATGTACAAGTCTTAATTAAGTAATGAGTGAATTTCCAAAACCAAAAAAAAAAAAAAAAAATTAAGTTGTACATATAATATTCCTTCCGTCCCAAAATTATTGTCTAGTTTAAGATTTTATTTTTAGTATAATTTGAACTATAAATGAAAAACCAAACTAGACAATAATTATGGGACGGAGGGAGTATTTAATATTTGGACATGTCAAACCATTTGTTTCTGTTGATGGAAATTAATCAGAATCTAACGGGAATTACCAGTCTGATGTCACTATTCAAGAAGCAATCTATGTAGTATTTAGGTGGAGCTTGAACTTAGAAAAGCACAGGAAACATTTTTTTTTCTTTCAATTCTAGTTCATCACGTTTATAATATATACCATGTTCGTCAATATTAATAGACTCTCTTTACAACATTTTAGCAAACTATGAAGGATGGTCGTCCGTAGATTTAAGACACGGCGAGAATTCTAACCATTTTATTTTTAAAATAAATTTTTTAAATTTTTATATATCATTGATAGTACATGCCTTTATGTTTTTAGTACACTGAACACTAATTGCTTTTTTTTTTAACACGATCACTAATTGCTAGTCTTTTCTTAGATATTTATTTCAAAAAATAATAAAAATTTGTATTAAAAATATATTGATAACCGCGTAATAATCATTCCCATCCTAAACTCTAACAATTCTATTCAACCCTAAACCCTCCCACCCCATTTTCCTAGATAATAACTACCCAAAGTATGGAAACAAAAAAAGAAGAAAGAAACTGTTTTTATATAACTATCTAAAGCATAATTGAATCTATACAATTCTCTATTTTAAAAATAAAATTTTTTGTTTATCGAATTAAAATAACGCAACAATATTTTTATTTGAGGCGGAAAAAGTATCATATTGCAAAAAATTAAGTGTGCAATTTTGAGAAGACTAAATAAGAATGTCACCATAAATCGTGATGTTTGAATCGCACAAATGTTGGAATCTGAGTGTATTGATAAATCTACATCTTCATAATGTTAAAAGATGGATGAGGTAATGCAAGAGCAATAAATTCCCTGCGAATCGAATCCAGAAACAATCCCGATAAGAGAAAATGACATATTGTAGGACTGAGAGACATTATGGATGGAGCAATAGTGCTCAATTTAAAGGACCATCTCTTTCATTATTGTTCGATGCCCACGATTATAAAGAAAAGAATCTCTTTAAAAAAATTGGTACAAAATCCTCACGTGTGAATTCTCTTTTGGTACTAATAAGGTTTTAGGTTTGAAATGTGTTCTTAAAAATAATTTAAAGAGCATTACTATTCCCTCCCGTCTCTGTAATATAAGGTATTTTGATCTGTCCTAACCTAGTACGCATTTTAGTTGATGACAAAACCTGAAAAACATTTCAGAACAATCAAGAGAATACAACGAATGCGAAAACATATTTTTAAAGTTTTTTTGTCAATAAAAATATGTAATATGTGAACCCTTAGACAAATCAAAATGTCTTATATTAAGGACCGAGAGGGATTAGTATTTAACAAACATTAATCTTTCTAAAATTATTATCGGCCATCCCAATCACCAACACCGTGGTGGTATTAACATCCAACCATTTGTCGCTAAAATTCAATTGGCAAGCTGTAATTAACGGCAACAACAATATTGATGGATGGATTGGTTTTAGTCCAAACATATGTTTCGTGTACACTTTTCTGTGTAGTGTTTTTCAGATAACAAAACCACCAAATAGATTCCCAAGTTGACAAATACTACAAGCAAAGGCAAATGCTCGAATAATATAGACTTTTGTCGTAAAACAAAGTTGTCTTATTACGTAATTAATGTACTAACTAAAGTCTTTGGGATTTCGAATAAATTACTTATTATTAAGGAATCTGGACAACTAAAGATTCATATAAAATGGGAAGATTCCACATGATCAATCTCATCAATATTCAGTGGAATCATATCCACCGGCCTTTGAGAAAAGGAATAATCAACCTTTTGCTCTCTCGCTCTCTCTCACCATATCTAAGCCACACTATCTTGTTAATTAATTATATAACTCACGTTTTTAATGAATCCCATATCCAAATTAGACATTTGTTTAAACATTCTTCAAAGCTTTTAGAGAGCTATAAGAATAGAACACTTTGTAAACTATATAAAATAAAATTATACAGTTTATTCCAAACCATGATGTCCCTCGCATCTACTTCATTTGATAGTTGTCATTTTATTTTGGTTTCACACACACAAAAAAAAAAGAAAAAGAAGGGTGTTTCTTTTCCTTTTTGTTTGGTTTAAGTCCAAAAAACGAAATAGAGGATATGAACCAGCCCATTTGATTCGGTTTGGGCATTAAATACAAAGGTTTAGATGATTGGGCCGTGGTTTTAGCAATAAGAAATTGGGATGCAGGACCAACTCTTTTGTTTTTTGGCAAATGGAAGAGAAGGTTGTCATTTACTGGCTTAATGATTCTTTTCCATTACTATATCACCTAAATTTTAACTCTATATAATCTTTTTTTTTATAAGGAAAAATGGGTCTTTTCATCCCAAAATTTAGGTCACACCATCCAAAACATCCCAAAGTTTAAAAACATGCCATTTACATCTCAAATTTTTTAAAAACATGTTACATTAGGATATTCGTTAAATTTTTAACTCCAGTTAATTAATTAGTGGTGGTACTTTATTCTGTTTCTCCTCCCCCAATTCTTTTAATCATTTAACACATTCCACTCACTCCCATCTTATAAGAAAATAGCTAAACCTAATTTGGTCTTCACATCATCTATTTTTCCAAATATGTAGCATCATTATAAAAATTGGTGTTGTAATTGATGCATGGACATGCAACTTTTTTGTTTGGCATGAACCAAATTTAACAAACGCAAGTATGAAACTTTTTTGACTAAAAAAAAATAGGGGAAAAGAAACTGAATGAAATACCACCGTTAATAACTTGAAAAAATTAACAAATATCCTAATATTACATATTTTTAAAAAGTTTGGGATGAAAATGGCATGCTTTTAAAATGTGGAATGTTTTAGATGATGTGGCTCAAATCTTGGGATGAAAAGGCCCGTTCTCCCTTTTTTATAATAACCTTGTTCATATATACTCCCTCCGGTCCTTATTATAAGGCATTTTGACTTTGTCCTAAATTTCACCTAAGATGTATTTTTAGTTGGAAAAAACCTTAAAAATATATTTTCACATTTCTTATGTTTTCCTAATTATTATGAAATATTTTTGAAGTTTTTTTCTCAATTAAAAAAATATCTTAGATGAAACATAGGACCAACCTTATAATAAGGACCGGAAGGAGTAGTTCTCATATAACCCACTAAGTAATCCTTTTTTCTTTTTCTTTTTTTTTTTTGGATTGACGTTCAAATTGTTTTTTTTTTTTAATTGTCTTCAACTCTTCCAAATTCAAAGGATATATAACTATCCAACTACAAGCTATTTTAGAACAATTAAACTATAGGGAATTAGTTTATCGTATTATACGATATTTAGGTGTTTGCCTCTTTTATTATACCAAAAAAAAGTTTATCGTATTATACAGTAGCTATATGTTTTGACCATACATTTGATCACCCATTTGAAGTTTATGAATTTAAGTCACTTTAAATATATATATATATATATATATATATATATATATATATAATATGGGGGATTTGGTCAATTGGTCTTATACTTCTTCACTTTCTTCATTGCTTCGAAAAATTACAAGTTATGAAACTAACGCGGTCTTCTTCCTTAATATACTAATAATACAGTATTTTTCTCCTTTGCCTGTTGGGTTGCAGGTTGCCAAGGTGTATTTTGAGATACATAGCACTAGGCATCTCTCACCACACAGCAGCTAGTTGCCCCTCTTTTGGAATATATAGCACTAGGCATATACATAGAGATGATCTATAAGCCTTTTTATTTGTGTTAAATAGATAATGCTACGAGCATGATTTAATGGGGAAATTTTCGGGTACCACGGCCATTTGCATTCTGCCGGAAAGAATGAAATCGTGAATGTTGCGTGTTGTTAGTGATGGTGAGGAAAGGGAAAGGATTTGCTGATTTTCAGTATTCGAATTTGCGTGATCTCTTACTGAAATCTTGAAAGGTCAGAAGTACTAGATCAAAATCAAGTGATCAACTAATGGTAACTAAAGATATAAAACACGAGCAAACAGGATCATATGCGCAAACATATGTACGAGAAACGAATAATCAACGATTTTTTGTCTTAACCAGCCAATTGACGTGTTAAAGCAATATTTCTACCGTCTCGAAAAACAGGAGTTTTAATTTGCTGTTAAACTAAAAACAGATCATTCCCATTTTATTTAGACTACCCAACACATAGTTTTAGATACTATATCTGGTTCTTTAGGGTTACAACTTACAAGTGGAGGTTGATAGTTTTGAGCTCCAAGTTCTCAGCTTGAAGTGCATCTTTCTCCGTCTGCAGGACTTGGACCTGAGCTTGAAGAGCATCTTTCTCCGCCTGCAATACTCCGACCGCCGCCTTAAGATCACTTATCTCCTTTCTTTCCATTGCCATTCTACTGTCCTTCAACTTCTTCACTGTAGCATGAAAGCGTGCTTTCAATTCCGCAGCGCGTGCGGATGACGCGTTTCGGCCGGCCTACATTAAATCGGTCAAGTAATTAAATACTCCCACTTTAAAAAACATTACCATCATATATTCTAAAATATTCTCGCTCCGTATGGGAAAAAAAAATGCTACACCTAGTCAAATTTAAGAAACGGAGAAAAAAATTCATAATCCATGTTGTGTGACGGAGGGAGTAATTAAAATAATAGTCATATCTACTACTATATAAAAGCAAGAGTCTCAAAAACAACAGTGCCCTTCGTTGTTGGAACATCTACTACTATATAAAAGCAAGAGTCCCAAAAACAACAGTGCCCTTCGTCGTTGGAACAACATCAATAAAGCAGTGGCAATTTTGTAATTTAATTGAAAAACATGCCTAAATATTACAACTTTTTCAAGCCCAGACAAAAACACGTGGCCCTTTTAAGTTTTAATCCCAGCTCCTTTTCATTCACATTAGATTTTGGGTTTTACTTAATTTTTTGGGCCTAAATTATGGCGTCTCAAGGGAAAAAGAAAAAAATTTGGCTAGGTGCTTAACATTTATCAATTTTATTTATAAATAATTAACTTTTGATGAAAATTGATATATAAAAAAAGGTGCATGTCATTTTATTCTTATTATGTATAATTTCATATGGAGTATAGTCTACTACTATTATAAAAGGAAGAGAGGGACAACTATAGTATTTTTCGTCGTTGGTACATTCTAAGGGCATTTATATGCTTTCAGAAAGATTGTCTGAATTTTTTAATCAAATGGACCATATTATTTAGACATTTGTCATTAATGCAAGAGGGGGAAATTCTTATTATGGTCCCCCTCAAGCCTTTTTTTTTTGTCTTTTTCTTTTTTTATTCAACTTCTAAATTATATAAAATACTAATATTACATGTGGCATCACAAAGGTTGAAACTTAGACGGATTGGGAGAGATGGATGATGATGGCCAAAATATTACCTTCAAAAAATACAAACTGGAGTTCACTTGATTGTTTTTATATTTAATTTAAGTGTTATACCAAAATATGTACTGTTTCTCATTATCAATTCTAATTGCTACATATGGCCATTGAAGATATTACGGTAAATAATAATATAAAAAATTATAATGTTTTTGTTAAAAAACTTTCGATATTAAGCACACAAATTGAGTTTTTTTTTTTGGAAGTACAGATATTGTGTATTAATTTAAGCAATGAATGACATAATTCATCAATTTGTGTATTTTCTTAATGTCTTACCATAAAATCCTTCTTACTTTTCTTCTTAATTTTTGACACCTTAAAGTTTAAATAATATGAATGTATCCACGATCTTCTACACTAATGCAAAAATGTCTTAACCCTATATTACAATTAAATAATAATCTCTATATAACAGAAAAATAGTCTACTTTTGTACATTATAAAAATATTTTTTAGTAAAAAATTGGTCAATTCCATAAAGGTCTAACCATCAATTATCATACATTTTTAATTTTTCAACTTAAAATAGTAACTTACATCTATTTTTATTATAAAATAATACAAAAGCGTTACAGAAATTCAATTACATTTTTCTTATGGAATGTCCACCTTACTCTACTTTAAAAAATGAATAGATATAACCAAAATAAAAAAAGTGATTGAATGAGATGGTAAAAATTGACAATTACTTCAAGAGATTTGAATTTAAAGAATTTATTTGAATAACTCAATTTAAAATAAAATGAAGCCAAAATTATATTAAAATTATTAATGTGTAAAATCTATTCCCGCGAGTAATCGCGGGCCGGAAAAATCTAATTTATAATATATATGCTACATGAATTGAAGGAAATAGATAACACGAATTCCTGTGGCCATAACTGTGAGAGAGAGAGAGAGAAGAAAAATCATTTCAATTCACGCACAAATGATCAAGCAACTAAATCTGAATTTGATTTTTTGTTAGACGAAGTAATAAACTAAGATCCGATTCCTAAATCACCAAAAATATTAAAAGCTAAATAAAGAATAGCTAGTCAGAAATCGCACGAGGATACATAAAATCAGACAGATCTACATGTTATACAGCCATACAGGTCATACAAATAACACCAAGAAATTAACGCTGATAAATTTTTTTTTTCCGTTTCCTGATCAGAATTGCATAGAGAAGAAGAAAACGGAAATGAATAAATAGAAGGAAAAAAAAAGAAACAAAAAGTAAAACCAGAATATATAGATCGACCATTTGCGGTCGAGATGTGCAACGATCCATGGAGGAGACTGATTGAGATTCTAATTAGACGGCGGCCTGGGGGTTTGTTTGCCAGCGGTTGTGGGAGGAATATTATTCCTAAATTAAAATTCCACTCAATTTTTTTAGCTAAAAATTGAAACTCAAATTAATTTTAGGATTTCTCAATCTAAACTTCCTATTCGGGAAAATGGTGGTAATTTTCCATCCCAAGCGTTACGGGATATATAATACAACAATTTCATTCCAAGCATATAATTTTATCTTTTCCCCTAAAATTACTCTTTTACCCTTAATTATTATGTACACATCAGTTACTATGTATTTTTACTATATAATTTTCAGGTTCTCTATCATTGCTTTTTCTGGGGATTCAATATTCCAACCTTCTCGAATGACGACGAGTTCATTTTGTTCGATAGAAAGTACTACCTCCGTCCAAAAAAAAAATTATATATATATATATACATATCAAAACTCAATGTAGACTATTTTTTTAAGACGGAGGGAATATAAAAGATTGAAAAAATACATTCTCCATTTTTGTTAATAATTATTTTGTGCGATAGAAGATTTATCATGAGTTTTACCATTTCGTAGTCATCTACATCCACCTAACTAATATTATCAATGCTACTTTTTCTAGTTGCAGTCAAAATAGTTACAATAAAAAGTTAAATAAAAAGAAAATGTGTGCGATTGAAAGCATGGTTGGTAGTGATTCATTTCACGTATATGATGATCATACGCGCGAATTCCAAAGTTATCATAAATATTGAATGATTATTTCTTACAAAAAATACGGTGGTTTGGACTAAAAAAACAAAATATTGACTTTTTTAATTTCTTTGGGACAGAAGAAAGTGATCAAAACAAAAACAAATTAAAACCAACCATTTACTATTCCTAGCTAGATGCGTTATGCTTTTCTTCAATGGATTATTTTAGAACTTGGATTCACCCAATATAAAAACTAATGTGATTACAACCAACACGAACGAAACTAATTTGATCTCTATTATGAAATTAACAACAACAAAGTAGATTGGCAAGAGAAAACTATACATTCCAACTAATTAACCATCGATATCTATATTGACATCCTCAATCTTATCAATGGATTTGCCAATTCAACCACTGGATGGATGGATCGATTCCCCGTTTTCCACCTGAAAATCTCTCTTTTTTCGGCCATTTCTATGAAGGTCAATTCAACAAGATATAGAAGGGCACGGGCAATTGTTTAGATTGTGGATTCTCTCTTTAATTCTCCTGGCTAGGGTTGTGCAAATTATTATTCCAATGTGACTCGATGTAGCTAGCTCGTATGTTCCTGGCCCAAAGTCCCAAACAATTAATGGTGGGATGACTAGCAACTGACATGTTTGCTTGGACTTGATTTTCTGAAATTGATTGGGTGTCGCTTAACTGCCAATGCCAACAATGCTTATGAATGAATTGAATTAATTTCTTTGGAAAAAAACGATCGGTGACACTTTTGTATTACATTTTATATGATATTAACTAAAATCTTGACAAGTATTTAATTACTTGACAAACAAGGTTCAACTCCCATATGATTAGGAGGTTAATAATTAATTATTTCAACACGTGTCAACTGTTTAATTAATGCCACACGACGTGTCGTACCAAAATGTCACAGAAGGATATACAACTAATTGTAAATTATTATTATTATTTTGATTTAGGAAAAGGAAAATCGATTTCTTGTGTATTCATGGGTTTCTTTTTTTCTTTCTTTTCTTTTTAATAAAAAAACTTGTTTCGATAACATAAAAATTTACAGAAGCTGACATGGTACAATGCCCACAATCAAGCTGATATAGAGCGGACAAGAGTTGGAGGGGGCAGGGGGTTTCGAGTTGAGCTTTGGCGTGATGGATGTATCATTACCCTTATCTGAATGTGTGAATCACGAATTGACTTATCATCTCAATCATTTGAATTGTAGATAAGATATTTTTGATTGCACACAAGTGGAGAATACCCATACTTCCAGTGGTCAAATCAAGCTGCCTTATCTTGCTGCCCCGATCCATATCATCTGTTACCGCCCAAGAGACACTCGAAACGTCCATGTTCTTGTGTCATAAATATTTTAATCTCTTCGGTTTTAAAATTATTATCCAATTTAGATTTTTATTTTTTTAGTATAAATGGAACTAAAAATAAAAATTAAAACTGAACAATAATTTTGAGACAAAAAGAATATTAATTAATTTTTTTTGTCTATTTTTTTTTCCGGCTTACAGAGAAGCAAAAGTCTAAAACCTTATGTTAACACAAACCATAAGTTAAAGAATATGGATATTATTGTGTCAGTCACATTTCAATCATATAATCTAATTAACTCCAAACAATTGTAATCAATGTATCACAAAGTTTACTTCACGATAAACTTGCTTTTGTTTTACTGTCATTTTATACTCAAGATATAATTCTTATTTTAATAGTTTTGATGGATATAGTACACATGAAATTGTTCAACGAGTTTCCAGAAGGGTTCCTTTAATATCTAGCAAGATATATCTGGCGTTTTTTGTTTCACAACATGTTAGGAAAAAGAATATCACGTTGTCTGTGTATGAAGTCTGAGACTTTAAATAAGTTCCTTGAGTCACCACACCCATCGTCAATTAGTTTTAAGGTCAGAGTCCAAATTGCTTTTGACACAGCAGTAATTAAAATTTCCTCCTTGAATTAAAATAGAAAAATACAAAACAAAACAACAATAATTATTTGCTAACCATATTAATTTGTTCATGCATGGCCACGATTCTTATAAATTTAAGGAACCCTTTTGTCATCCCACACCACCATATCTCTGCATTTTTCCTAAAAGAAGAAGAAAATGGATGAAGCAACACATGATGAGCTTCTTCAAGGTGAAGCACACATATGGAAGCACATATTCAGCTTCGCAAATTCCATGGCACTAAAATGTGCGGTGGAACTAGGTATACCCGACATCTTACACTCTCATAATCGCCCTTTATCACTCCCCGAAATCGCCTCAAATATTTTCACCAACTCCTCCTCATATAATTCCTCCCCACACACCCTCAATAACCTCTCACGAATTATGCGACTTTTAGTTCACAACCAAATATTCACTTCCACCATTTCTCATGATTCTGATGGCATTTCCCCTCCCGTCACACTCTACGCCCTGACCGCGGCTTCCCGGTGGCTAGTACGATCCGGCCAAAATGAGTTAAGCTTATCCCCGTTGTTGCTCTTGGAAAACACTCCATGGATGCTTAATCCATGGCAAAATTTAAGCACTTGTGTAAAAGAAGGTGGTTGTACGTTTCAAAAGGCTCATAATGGACGTGCATTTTACGATGTGGTTGGAAAAGAACCGGAATTCATGAGGGTCTTTTATGATGCAATGAAACACACTGGAAATATTACTATGAAAAAGGTGCTTTCTTCTTCTAGGGTTAGTAATGCAATATGGGAAGGCTTGGAATCTGTGGTGGACGTTGGTGGTGGAACTGGAAGTGCAATTGCGGAGATTGTTAAGACTTATCCGCGTATTAAAGGGATTAATTTTGATTTGCCCCAGGTTATTGAAATCGCTCCGGAACACGCCGGAGTTACTCATGTCGCCGGTGACATGTTTGACGCTATACCTAGTGCTCAGGCTCTCTTTCTCAAGGTACACATTTGAAGAATTAATTACTAAACAATTTTCCTTATTTTTTTTTAAAAAAAAGAAAACTCTATCCATTCCACAATTTTTAACAGTCCACATTGTAACTAGAAAGTTCTATTGCTTTTAGTATAATTCACAATTTACATTTTTTGGGATGAAGAGAGCTGGTCTAGTAGTATTTATATCTTCATGGTAAAAAGTTGAATTTTGGTTTTTAATTTTATTAGAATTCGTTTTAGTTGCACAAATGTGACACTTTTCCCCTCTGATGGAGGGAGTAGATGTAGCCCGGTTTAGACATTTCATAAGGTAAGGTAAAACTAACTTTTATTTATCATTTTTTCAACATATATATATATTAAGCTCTAGTTAAACATTTTTTAAAAGGGTAAAGTAACTCGTATTTATCATTTTTTATGGTTGATGCAGTGGATTTTGCACAATTGGGATGATGAAAACTGTGTGAAGATATTGAAAAACTGTGGGAAAGCACTTCCGGAGAAAACGGGAAAGCTAATTATCGTTGATTTGGTCTTAAAACCCGATGACGATGACGATATATTTGGGAGCACAGGGATGGCATTTGATTTGCAAATGCTTGTCAACTTTCAAGGTTTGGAAAGGACTGAAGTTGAGTGGAAAAACCTTCTTGAAAAAGGAGGGTTTCCTCGTTACAAAATTACTAAAATCCCAGATTTGTTCTCAATTATTGAAGCCTTTCCTTCCAAACTGACGCTTAATTTGTCCATGCCTTTCAAATAACTTGGGCCACTTGGAATTGGTAGTCTCTCAACTCCGAATTGTTCTGCTATTAGAACCTTCATTGTTGGTTTGGTGTTTGTAATTTTTCTTTTCTTGAAAATAGCGAATTTTTTTTAATTTTACTGAAAAGCAGTCCAAGTACAACTAACGGGAACCGCATTGCAACGTTTTCCAAACTTGCGCTTATTACATATGACTTAATTAAAAATGTTTTTAAATTAAAAAATTATTAAAAAAAAAATCAACAAAAAGTTTTTTTCGTTACGGATACCTCCCGACAGCAAATCAGCCCTTGTTTTTACTGGTTTCCATGCTTTTAAAAGAGAAAAGAAATTCTCTTTCTTCGAAACCCTCTGACCTTCCAATCCAGTCGTTCTCCATCCTTTAATCCATGTAGATTTTTTATCTTTTTAACTTGTAATTTCAGTTATTGGAGAAGTGTGATTTCAGTTGTATTAATTTTAGGATTCGGCAGAATGTATCCCTGTATTTTGGGGGTATATTGGACAGAAAATTGACTTGGGACGTAAATAGTCGAAAATTCACATTTTTTGGACAAAATAGGACAAAAATGAATATTTTGAAATATATGGGACGAAAATAATTTTTTGCTCAAATGTATAAAACGTCTAAAAGCATTTTTGAAATTATCAATCGTAAGTTTCATGTGAAATTTTGTAACCATTGTCGCGTTTGACTAATTTTGTCAAAAAGAAACAAAGCATTTGGTTTTTGATCACGAGAATATACCTTAGTAATTCTTGACAGTGTTGTCATGCTCGGCTCGAACTGGCCGGCTGAACCAGTTAACTAGGAACTGGACCCTAAACTGAGCCGAGTAGGTAAGAAAATTTTTTGTTTGAGAATCGGTCAAAATCGGTCAAAAATTCGGTCGAACCGAAAATTGGGTAAACTCGAATTGGACTGGATTTTGAAGATTTTTTACTTTCTGTCCAGAATTTTTCTCATTCCAAGGCCAATTTTTTGTCTTTTATTTATAATTGACCCCTAACTTTCAGTATTTGTTTTGTTCAAAGTATTGATTTGATTTCTTAGTCCCTAATTTTTAATTTTAACTACTTAAAGCACTTTTTTTTTGTCGTACAAACAAACTTTCTACTTCTTAAACCCAATTTGAACTATAACTTTAATATATCAAAATTGATTTCATTCTTCATGTTTAAAGTTCATTATCTTGCAAATTCTATTTTTTTTGTAATAATTTATTTATCTTAATAAACTTATTAATATACTTATTACTTTATAAAAATTATAATTAACTAATACGAAAATATAAGTATCAATTATTACAATAGAAGAGAATTATAAAGTTTATTTTTTTATTTTAAATGTATTAAATAACTAAATATTGTTTATTTAGTAATAATTACATCATCTTAATCCACCTTCCAAGTTCAACTTTGTCCAAAAAAGTACTAATTTGACTTTCATAAATGATAAATATATATAATTTTAATTAAAATATCATTATTTATTATTTATTATTTATTACGTCATTATAACGTCATCCGAGTCGACCGCCGATTCGCCCCGACCCCGCCCCGACCCTCTCACCATGCCGAGTCGAGCTCCGGTCCGAGCTTGATAACACTGACTCTTGGTGCTTTCTTATCTGTAGACGATAGATTTCTTATTTGTGTCTATTGATCCCATTTCATATCAGACCAAAAAATCGAACTGGAAAATGAACATAAAGCCCATTGGCGTCTGCCTCTGAAGTTTGGCAGGTCTGCTTTTGAATATGAGGAGCCTAAAAGGGCAATTAACATCCGAGAAATGGTCACAATAATCGAAGAACATCCCCGATGAATTGCGGGAACAAATCTACTACAAGGAATTTGATGTGCTGCACCAATGGGTGCACAACTCGAGGAGTAGCATGCCAAGACTCTGACGAACTGTCAAGTACTCTGTTATGCACTTATCCGCCTATCCCCTGGTTCGTCGGGTGTTGTAAGACTTGCAGTTGGGGCATTTATGAGCCACAATGTGAAATGGTACCTCTGCAGTCGTTCCACAATCATTGCACAGAATCCAAACCTGTGACAGAAATTATCACTAGATCACAGCTATGCACGGGGCATGATACAGACATGTGGTGCATATGTCTGGAATTTAAAGAACGAGTTTCTTATTAAGATACAAAATTCCTGTAACTTAGGTGCTTAAAGAGGAGTGCAGTAAAGAGTAGAGGTAAGGCGGCAGAATCCAAGATTACCATCATATTCTGAAACGACTCTGGCATGGGGGTTGCTGCAATCTCCATGTCAAATTTCTCCCATACTTTTGACATATCACAGACTGACTTTGAACATAAAGGGCAAGCAAACCTGAACAAAAGCGGCAGTTAGCTGCATAATGTAATGCCAAATAAGCAAAAGAGAGATCTACGCCCATGGATTTCCCTAAAAGTTAAAACTTACTGGGAGTGTTCCTGCATTTCCTCCAAGCAATTCCTGTGAATGGTATGCCCACAAGGCATAACTATCACATCATTTCGTGACTCAAAGAGATACTGCAAAGAAGAAATTTAAATTTTTACATACTGTGATTCAACACTCAAAACCCCATGCCTCTGTACAGAGGAGAAGAACAGCTGGATAGAATTTCTAAAGCAAATGAACAGCATACCTCAAAGCAAACAGGGCAGTCATGATGCATTGCACCTTCAATACATGGATGGCTATTCCTCAGTACATTCGCGTAGCAACATCCTAAACCAGAACCATAATTTTAGCGGAACATAATCTCAACAGCCGACAATTCAAAATCCAACATGAAGCACTAAACAAAGAAAGGAAATGATAACTTACTGCACTTGGAACAGTGAAAGAAATTCTCCCGTCCACCAATTCTGCAATTGAATAGTAACTTATAAATGATTTGAAACTCACTTTTCATTCTAGCAGATAAAAAACTATCACGATCTGAACGAAGGAGAAGAGGGGTTCTATTTTCTATACTCTTGAAAGCAATAAGGAAAATAAATAAATAATCCTCTTCTTCTGCGTTAACATCTTTCACATATCTACAGTTCTAGTCTTAACAGTTAATCCATATCCAAAGAGAGGCGAACATTGACCTAGAAACTGTACCTGCAAATGCCACAACCAATACAATGATACTGCCCTTTTGATGTCTGCACAACCAATCAGAAAGATCATATTAGCACAGCATTCCGGTTTCAATAACCAGTGGATTGTTGGTGGCTACTACTGCCAATTAAACTACACATCAACGTGCAAGTAAAGAGGTAATAGATTAATTAAAACCATAAGTAGTCCTGAAGGTTTCCAGCTTACATCATCGTCAAGCAATTTGCAAATTCCACAAAAATATCTTCCCATGCATACTCCACAATTAGCACAAATTTGCTGAACCTGAGGCAAAGGAGCAACACAGGAACTCCAATAAATTTAAATTATCCTCAACAATTGAGTATCATCAGACAAAATAAATTCAGATAGCTCTAAAAGCTAACATCACGCATTCAGTCACCAACCTCTTGTTCAGTTCCGCATAGCGAGCATATAATCTGTAAACACAAGCAGAGGAATTGTTGCAATTAGTTTTTCGAATAAGCAGAGGGATACCAGGGAAGAAACAAATAAAGAAAAATAAGAAGAGATGATCATGTAAGATTAAAGGGCCTTACCATCTTAACTTGATGACGGGGTATGTCATGCCTCAGCTTTTGATCAACCTTGAGATTGTTCTGCAAGCAGTGATCAGGACATCAAAATTAAGACAATATTCAGAGCACAGAACACGTTGAGCCGAGTATAAATGTAGCACAATAGTTCTAGAATATAGCTTGTTCCCTAAGAATTTGACCACATACTGATGCTCCTTTTGAGTTTCTAAATGATACCAATAGTTGGATCATTTAGTATACGAAAATCAATATTTCCCAATAAGTTGGCAGCACCTCAGTATGTCTCAACCAAAGCAGATATACCCAATGGCAAGTTCATCCCACCTACCTTTGCTTCATTATGACAATGACGACAATCAAATACTTCATTGCAGCAAGGGGCTCTAATGCGGCACCTTCGACGGTAGTGAGAGCACCTAGAAATGAAAAGAAGACTGGTTTAAAATCCACAAAAGGAAATAAATGAAATAGAATCAATGAAGATTAATACTTGATGATATTAGTCATACCCATACTCCATATAGCCTTTATCCAGGGTGTCAGTACCGCTAATTTTGCAAGTTTCTTCAACAGCACCATCGGATTGTTGTAAATGCAAATCACATGTCTCAATCTTGTTTCCGCAACTTCCTGTCATTGAACCTTTTGGCTCAACCGAATCCCTAGATTGATCAAGAATAGCCTCTCCCATTGGAGCCCAATTATGCAAGTAACTGCCTAGCAGCTTGCAGTAAGCTCAAATCACCTGCATTCAGGAGCAAGTTTAGGAAAAATTCTAAACCCTACAAAGGCATGAAAGTTTCCATCCTACAGGCAAACCGCCCAAGACAATGTAGCTTTTCTTGCACATTGCGGCAGACCAAGCGAAATCAGCAATAACTAATTCCAAGAACCATCCATGAGCTCCATTCAGCAAAACAAGAAGATCTACAAGAACCCAAAATAATTATATTATCAAGCAGGCAGATATGTGGACTTCAGATCTTCCAGCAGGGGATGATAACCAGTGCATGATCACTTCAAACCCGAAGAAGTCCAAATCCACCTAAACGACACACCACCTGATGGACATCCCAACCCGTGTTAAAAGAAATGACTTGAGAATTAAATCCTCCCTACAACTGAAAATACAGTAGCGGACAGACTGCAAGTATTGCAGAGAATGAGTTATTGTCCAAAAGGACAAGCCTACCTCAGTCCGCCATTCTGCACCATCTCCTCTTGAATAACAAGAAATTACAATACTTCTAAAATCAAGAGATGAAACTCTTATCTTCTTCATTCAAGTGGAAAACTATAACTTTGAGAAATATTTCCATGGTTTCTGCCTCGCAGCTGCCAGCTTGTAGATACTCGAAATCAAGAGGTAGGACTATCAAGGTGACTCTGTTTAAAAAATCCAGAGACCACTATTCTCCTACTAGATTTAATCAAAACAACTTTCTTATTTGGACTCCGACTTCTCTCTTAAGTTTAGTATCGGCCACAAAAAATGAGGATAGCTAGAAAGACAGGTCAATACTTTCCAAACAAAATCCATAATGGTTTCCAAAGAAAAGGTCACCGTATTCAGAGGTGAATAAAACCCATCGTTGACGACGATCTCATTTATATCACATTTAAAAACTACGGGAAGGAAAAGCGACTGACCCAAGATTCTGTCCTTAAAGTTCAGATTACGCTACGAGAAAATATCCAGGATACGATTCAAATGAACCAGCTGAAACTCGGGATTGGGGAAACATCCTAGTGGCAATATCACAATTCTATGTACAACAGACACTAAACCTACTGTCTATAATTATGAAAATATTATTATATCTACGGCTTCCGTGTACTGCTGCCCCTTCTCCATTTAGGCATTCTTATAATTAGTAAGAGACAAACCAGAACTAAAGAGGGTTATAGAAAAAAAAAAAAAAGAAGAAAAAACGCTGGGGAAAACATTTTGGCAAAGGCAGCCAAACACTTCATCCTGCTTTGGATGTTCTTTATTTTCCTCAGCGGGAGTGGCAATGCATCTTGAATAGAAGACCCAAACAAGTTCACCAAGTCTTTATAGATACTTGATAAACTAAACTTCCGAAGCACCAACACATCATCAATTCCTTAGAAGTATTTGAAACACGTACAAAAAAAGAAATAAAAATGCTGAACCCAGAACGGTTGCCGAGGGAATAACACACAACAAAATATGGCACAGAAATCATGACAACAACAGTGGGGGAAAAATTAGCAAAATTCGACAAAAGTAAGATTAAAGCCAAACTATTTAAATCAATTTACACTTCAATCCTGATGACGTAAAGGTCCAACAACCACATAACAAAACGCACTTGCAACAAATTTAGAAAAGCACAGTAAAAAAAAACCTCGTGATTACCAAGAAAGACTGTTTCCACAACAATAATTTATAAGACGACAACATATTGCCCCAAAAGCAACATCTGAGAGACGAAATGCTAGATATCACGCAAAGGTAAGATTGAAAAGCTATCCCATTCTCCTAGTCACGTAGGACACTCATAAGGAGTCAACAACTGTAAAATACAACCCAACCAAATTTATCGAGACAGACACAAGATACAAGTCAACAAACAATCGGCTCATGCCAGGTCATACTCAAGGTCGAAAAAAGAAATTTTCTTACGCAATTCCTCCACAACTAAACCCTAAAAAATCATTTCAGCCAAAACTATAAATTTTGCGCGGCAAAGGCTAAAACTCAAGCTAGAACTTTAAACATCCAAACCAAGCACGCACAATGGAAATTCTATCATTTCACCTTGGAGGATTGATCAACAAATCTTGAAAGGATGTATATTCAAAATTGCAGATAGCATACCAAGTGAAAAGAATCAATGCAACATAACCATTCATGAAACAAATCAGTTAACACGTCTGTAAAACATAGAACCTTTTCATATTCACAGAGAAAGTATCAGATAAAGAAATCGATACGTGATGAACTTTTGTAAACAGATCTAACATAATCGTCCCAACCTCCCACAAAACTCTTTCACCGATTTCCAAACACATCTCAGTTCACACACATTCAAAATTAAAAGATAAAGAGAAAATCACAACACCAAGGACAACAAAAGCCATTTAACAGCAACAACAACCGAAGCTAGGACATCCATCCTGATACCATCCCCTGCTTAATCAGTAAACAATTCAACCCAAAAGAGGTGAAGTAACATCACAAGCACGCTACATTAGAGCAATCAACACAATCCAGTAACGACCACGGCAAATTATCTCGAAATCGTACCTTCAAAACTCTAAAAAAAAAAATTATCCACAACAAACAATTCACCGGTAAACGAACAACAACAGTAGCTCCCAAGAACCACCAAAAGATTACACGATCAAACACGGAAAATTTAAACAAGAAACGTAAATGATCCGAATATATTCAGTAATTTAACGAACTTTCGATCAGCAAAAATCAGGATCACCGACTGCAGCCGCCGATCAGCAAAACCGCTTCCTTCAATCACCCTCCGCGTCGCTCCGCAGTACAATGGAACTCTGCATACGAGCACACAAATACAGATGCATTTACAGAAAAACGCGAAATGTAACCGCCGAACGAATAAAATATTATTATCGGTATCGGTGATTGGTATAATTATATAAAGAGAGAAACGATCGGTTTTCGTTTTGATATTTTTTTAGAGAGAGAAAGTTCGGTTTGGTTGCAATTTTGGGGAAGATTCTTTGAAAACAGGAGGTATATATATAGGTGGGAGTCAGGGTGAAAGTATAAACGTTGAAAAGGACGTGATTGAAAAATGTGGGAAACCTGTGTGCTTAATTTGGGATTTCTAGAGAGTTCGAACCAATTAAGACAAAGTTGGACGGCTTTGAAATTGAATGCGGACAAGACAACTGGCTAATCCGTCGGTCTCTTTCGTCACTAAAATAATAATTTTTGACGGTTTAAGGATTGAGGCTGCGATTTTCCAAGGGTGCCCCTATAAACTGGGGTATTTTCACTCTCAATATCTTGGGTACGGGCGGGACTACCCAAAGTGGAGTACACTTCTCAAAGTCGTCAATGTACTATGGTTTTACTTGATCTAAACATTTTTATTCTGTATATTTTGCAATCTAATGATATTAACCTTCTTGCATTCACTCAATGGTTTGTAAATTAACTGTCATAATTTTCATCCCCGGAAAGTTATGAATATGTGCAACTATATACATGTCCGTGTGGATGTCACGACAAATTATAATGGTATTAAATTAACAATTTATTACATTTTTTTACTGTATTCTTTAATATCCTAAGTGGTTTGATGTGGTTTGCTGTGATTCATAATGAATTGGACTTTAAAGAATTACGTGTTTGTTAAAATGTGTGTGTCTGTATATATACCTTACAGTGCCGATGATTATGTAATTTGATAATATAATTTTGATTTTATTGTATTCAAAACATTTCAGAGTTATCCACAAATATTTTTGACATTCTTGTTCGATGTTTAGGAGCAAGGATTGATTGTCCAATGTTTTGTGAATTGGCAATAAAATGCAAAATGATTACTTGTTGTGAAAGTTTACCTTTCAAAAATAATATATCTAATTGGATTTGGATAATAAATTTAGAATTTGGACACGTGATATATATTGTATTTACTTATTAATTAACAAGAATATTATAATTATGTAACAATTATAATTTCTATGTTCATATTCAAGGTGGATTATTTTTTTTAAGGATAACCATTTATCTTAAAACTTTCAAAATTTTTAAAATTTGTTTGAAACTCTCTTTGAATTTGTAAACTCTTTTTTCAGAAAAAAAAAAAAAAAACAATTGTGAACTTCGATGCTTTGAGCTAAGAAGATGAACGGTGCTCGTGAACTTGATCTGTGGGGGACATAGACATTTATATACACTCGAGAAGTAGTGGATAGCTCATGACCCTTTTGACGTGGGTGAGAAGCTTTTGTTACGTGACAAGACACTCATTAAAAGTCAAGGCATGTACCACGTGTCAATGTGGGGCCACATTGGATTATATTCAATCATTTTTTTCACAGAATTGCATGTGCTGACGTGTACGGATTAAGATCTCAAATGAAAATATCTGGTAATAATATTAACCATCAAATGGTGATATATCATCGTCTAAATAAATTGATCTCAATGATTGGAATTTTAGGCCGAATAAAAATATTCGTGGTGATTGAAAAATTAAAAATTAAATCGAATGGAAACTGTTCTGGATTAGGTTTATATTTTTGTGGATATATTTTCCACGTCAACTTCACATCATCGTAAAGATTTTATGATGACTTGTTTGGATGTCATTTTATATTTCATTTTGTCACTTAAAAGTGGAAAGTGTTTCAAGTTAAAAACTAAAAGGGAAATGAAAATGTTGTCTGGATGATATTTTGAGCAAAAAATTATTTAGATGTTGGTTTTGAAAAAAATATTTTGAACTACATTTTGAAATATCAAGTACGAATCATTACTAAACAATTAAATACTATCAATTATAGTCACTTTAAAAAAAAACTTTTCCAAAAACAATCACTAAATAACGGAAATCTGGCAAATTTATCACTCTAAGATTTTCCTTTGATAGATTTCGTCACTGAACTACTTCTTTTTCAAAAATGGTCATTACACTAACAAAAAGTGTTTCAAGTTATAATTTAAAATGTAAAGCAGAAAGTTATTCGGATGATGTTTTCTTTTCCATTAGATTTTGTGTTTAAGGGATAAAATGAGTTAAAATATAAAATAAATTGACAAACAAACAAACACGTTAATGGTTTTGGCTTTTTAATTTAATTTTCTGGTAAGAGTTTCACTTTCACATGATCGAGAAGAAAAAGGGGGAACCAACGTCATCGTAACTTTATTAGTTAGAAAAATGTGTAGTAAATGAGCCAAAAGAATGTGGCTTTGAATGATCAATCATAAATGAACGATAAAAATGTTTTTGGTTTTGTGGGTTTATATTATACCTGAAACTAACAACATATATATTGGAATTTTTAAAAAATAAAATAAAATAAATAATGTTTACATTTTAAATTATCCACCTAATTATTTTTTTTTATAAAGTTCTTGTATATTAATAAAAACCTATTCTATTACAATGCATTTTACTATAAACTAATTTATGAACTTCCTCTACATTTTGTCCTACTTGCTTTAGTTATTTGACAATAATTAAAACTTGATCTTAAATTACTTAAAAGCGAAACTATTTCTTGAGCCTCCATCGGAATTAATGGACTATTTAGATCATGAGTTAGCATTTCACAATCTGTAAGGACTTCGATCCGATCAATTCTAAGTTTAGAAGTTTCTCGCATTGCTAGAAGGCAAGTCAATGCCTCTGTTTGGAATGGAGATAGAGAGTTGAGAATAACAGCTTTGATTTGCATAACCATGTCATTTGGTGAGTTGATCTTCCACGCTCCTACGTCATTATGGGAATGATCCACCTAATTGTAAAATGAATGGTAAATCCTAAATGCAAAAAATAAAAATAAATAAATGAATGTTATTTAATCAACATGATTTTTTATTTCATGTAAATTACTCTGTTTATATGTCATTATTTTCTTTTTTCCAAATGCCCTCAAGAACATTTGAGTTGTGATCTTAAAAAAATTAGTTTTAATTTTTATTTTTATTTTTTCCACCTCTATTATCAAATGCGGTATCATGGGTTGTTATGGAACAATTATTTCCGCAGCGAACTCATCGAAATTCCGATCAAATCATCGGGATATAAGATCGGGAGGTAACCGTGGCGAGATAGCTGAAACAAATGTTTTCATTTGCAAACGTATTTGTGGAAAATGAATCTCAAATGCATACTGAAATGATAATCTCAACGTTGTATTTTTTGGTTTTCTTTTTTTTTTTTTTCAGATCTTTGCTTTTAGCCTCTAGAACAAACGTACGATGAAACATAAATTTAACTTACATTTGCCTCCATGATAACTAAAGATGATGAAGTTTCAATTTTCAGAATGGATGATTTGACATGTATATGTTACTTATGACTCTAACAACTCATTCTCTCGCTTGCTTCACCAACACTTGTTTATACGTTAATGATGTGGGTTTGACACTCACGGAGGGAAAAATGGGAGCTCAAAATTCAAATGATCGTATTTGATACTCCCTCCGCTTCTTATTATAAGACATTTTGATTTTGTTTTAGGTTTTACCTAAGATATCCTTTTAATTAGAAAAAAACTTTAAAGATATATTTTCAGATTTGTTGTGTTCTCTTAATTATTATGAAATGTTTCTAAGATTTTCATTTTAATTAAAAAGAAATTTTATGTGAAATCTAAGACAAAATCAAAATGTCTTGTAATAAGGACCGAAGGGAGTATATTAAAAAAGAAGGGGAAAAGAAAATTGCTCTTGTCATGCAATATATGAAAGTAATGACAATTTTCTAACAGATAGAAAACTCAAGTTCTTCCTCCGTCCCATAATTATTGTTTAGTTTAGGCTTTCATTTTTAGTTCAAATTGTATTAAAAATGAAATCTCAAATTAGACAATAATTTTGGGACAGGAGTAGTACTTTAAAGTCGAAGTTTTGCAATGTGATGTAATCTTATAAAAGTAGTCAGCCAAAACTTTTGTGTAACATATCCATAAATCGTAAAATTGAATTGCATTGTAACAATACCAATACACCAAATAACATATGGATAAGAATTTTCTTGCTTATAACCATTGTGTCATCAAGAAAATCATATCTCTTCCAAACTTACAATTCATAGATAAAATATTTACTTCTTCTATTTTTTTTATAAAATAATTCACATTAGAATTTGTGAATTGTTCGATTCACAAACTATTATAGTTTTTTTTTTTTTTAATTCTTAGTTTGGTTATTAATAAATAGACGGTACTTTTTTTTTTTTTTTTGGTTACAAATGATTTAGAAGATGCTTTTGTTTGTTTAGTTTTTTTTTTTAATGGTTTTTTTAGATTAATAAAATAATAACTATCATATCTCATTATACCTTTTTACATTTCCAATACACCCTTTTATATTTTCAATAAAAAAACACCTAAAAATACACATAAAAAACGAAACAAACATTACCCAAATTAATTGTGCGTACAAATATACAGCAAGAAGAATTGTGCGCACAAAGCCCACTTTTGTTTTCCATCTGAATTTTTGTTTTCAGTCAATCTTTCAGACCGGCCCAATTTATTATGGCCTAAAACTGAAATATATTCGTATGATGATGGACATAAAGTCAGCACTAGGGTTTTTGGTCCGTCCCGCTTCACGGAAACACCATCTTTTATAGGGTCTCTCATTCTCCTACAGCACCACCCTCGTCGCGGCGGTCCGTCCTCCCATTTGCCGTCAACTCACAGAGGAAAAAAGCCGCATTTCGATCCGTTGCAATGGTAAGTTCTACACATGCTCGATCCTCTATATTTTCCTGTTATTTATGTTTTCGTTTTCCGGTTGTGGATTTGCAATGTGGTTGCAATTTCAACTGTTCTGCTAGTCGTCGTTAGAGTTCGAGGTTTTTTCTGTTATGCTTTTATTGTTTGTGATTATGTTAAATAGAAATGGTTTAGTTTTCCACGGGCAATTTAGTTTGTTGGGGGTTAAAGATTCGCTGAGTTTTTACATACTTTGATTTGGTTGTTGAACGGTGTTGTTTCGGTTACTTAAAAGGGAGATACGTTCTTTCAACAAAATAAGCACATCTTTGTTGAAATTTTGGAGTAAAATTAGATTACATAGCATGAATATACTTGATAAATGTGATATATTGCTAGGCTGTGATTTATGTGTTTTGTTGTATGGTAGTGTCATTTTACTATCAATTTAAGTTTCAGTTGTGGCTGTCTAGTTAATGTTGTGCGTCTGAGAGTTACCTTTATCTGTGAAGACTATCAACTCCGATTTCATTTTTTGTCTTTGCTGGTAGTCTAACTGAGTAAGTATTCCAGGCCTTTGTCAAAGCCCAGAAGTCGAAAGCTTACTTTAAGCGTTACCAGGTCAAATTCAAGAGAAGGAGAGGTATGTTTTCTTTCATTTTACTTTTATTTTTTTGCTTATCCTCTGTAATGTGTACCATCAAATATTTGAGATCCCATGTTTACTGATTTGTGGTGTTATGTGTCTTGTGCTCAGAGGGGAAGACCGACTATCGTGCTAGGGTCCGTTTGATCAATCAGGACAAAAACAAGTACAACACTCCTAAGTATCGTTTCGTTGTGCGATTCACCAACAAGGACATTGTCGCACAAATTGTCTCTGCTACCATTGCTGGTGACATGGTTCTTGCTTCTGCTTATGCACATGAATTGCCTCGTTATGGCCTTGACCTTGGCCTAACAAACTATGCTGCAGGTTTACTTCATTCCTACTTATCATGTAGTTTCTTCTTGATTAGTTTCATATTACTGTTTTGTTCTTAGTTTTTGTGTGACCGCAGCCTACTGCACTGGACTTCTGTTGGCTCGTCGTGTTCTCAAGAAACTTGAAATGGACGGAGAGTATGAAGGAAATGTTGAGGTAAAAGTAGTACTTATTAATTCATACTCACATGTAATCCCACTTGTAAATGTCACAAGAACAACGGGAGGCTGTCTTTATCATGCTTGTTAGCAATTGCTTATTTAGCTCAAACCACTGTCAGGCTACTGGTGAGGATTACTCTGTTGAACCAGCTGAAAGCAGAAGGCCTTTCCGTGCTCTTTTGGATGTTGGTCTCATCCAGACAACTACTGGCAACCGAGTTTTTGGTGCACTCAAGGTTGGTTACCTACCGTTTTTTTACTTTGAAAAGTTAGTATAACAAGTTATATCAGAGTTTGGTTCTATTTTCTTTATATTTTTGCTTCTTTTGGTTTATGGTTACCCTTAATGTGAGATCCCTGTGATGCTATTTTTGGTGCTTACCTGAATAGGGTGCATTGGATGGTGGACTTGACATTCCTCATGGTGAGAAGAGGTTTGCTGGATTTGACAAGGACTCTAAACAGCTTGACCCTGAGACCCACCGCAAGTACATCTATGGTGGCCATGTCTCCGCATACATGAAAGTGAGTGATTAAAGATGGGGACTCTTATGGTTCTTATTAAAGGTTCCGATAGTTGCGTCTTTGTAATATTGTCTCATTTTCATGAATGTGCAGGCACTGGAAGAAGATGAGCCAGAGAGGTTCCAGTCTCACTTTAGTAGGTACCTCAAAAAGGGTCTTTCTGCTGACGATATTGAGGCACTGTACAAAAAAGTTCATGCAGCCATTCGTGCTGATCCCAGTGAAAAGAAATCTGAGAAGAAGCCTGCGACAGAACACAAAAGGTTTGTACCTTTTAATGAAGAGTTAGTTTTAATCTGTCTGATGTCAATACTGAGAACTTTTGTACAAGTGGAGTTGTTGAAGTCCCATACTCCTGACTGATATGAACTGTAGAGGACTAAAATTAGCTTTGGAATCATAGTTTTTGATGGTCTGTAACTCTACTTGAAGTTGTTTGCAATTCTTTTTTTTTTTTTTCCAAACTCACACCAAGGAAATAACCTTTATCTCATTGAGTTTTTTTTTATTTTTTATTTTTTATTTTTTTGGTTGTGCTGGTTTTGATTCAATCTTTGGTTTCGTGGTTGCTAGTTTTGATATGATCTTTGGTCTTCTTTGCAGGTACAACCTTAAGAAGTTAACTTATGAGGAAAGGAGGGCTAGGTTGATAGAGAGGTTGAATGCATTGAATGCAGCTACCAATGAGGACCAGGATGATGATGAGGATGATGAGTAGAATCAGTGTTGGTAGCATGTTGTTGAGTGTGCTAGAGCTTTATTGTAGCATTTCTTTTCTGATGTTGGGTAGAAGTCTTTGCAACATTGCACTTTTGGAAGAAAGTAAAAGTTCTCAGACAAGTATGACAGAATTATAGTTCTTCAATTTTGCTTATCCGTGTCATTTTTTCTTTGCGTTGCATCTTTAATTATGACAGATACATACTCTCTTCCTAGAGAATATATTTGGATCTTTTGAAGCTGTACCATTTTTGTTTCTTTTTGATGGGGAAGTGGGAATCGAATCCATGACCTTCCACTAACGACTACTCCCTCCGTCCCATAATTATTGTTCATTTTGAGTTTTTATTTTTAGTTTAAATTGTACTAAAAATAAAATCTCAAACTGGATAATAATTTTGGAACGGAGGGAGTATGTTGCTTCAATAACGGCTTCCTATCTTTTTGGTATGAATCATGGTAACTTTTAAATGATTTTTGATCAATGAACAAAAAGGCAAAAGCTTGTTCGAACTTGGAGGACGTCAAATTGTCCTTACTTCTATACTCCTGAAGATCTTTTGGTATCTGATTGTACATAAACAAAAGCATTGACACTGAGGATTTCCCTTTCCATTTTTTTTTTAATAATTTTAAGAATAGCAGTTATTGTATAATCAATCATTTTAAATAATCACCTAAGGAGTTAATTGAACAAATAATAATAATTAATAATACAGCAAATAAGCATATTCCTAATGAAAGTTAGCTGATGAACATATTCTCATCCTTCTGCTAATTTCTTTATCACTAAATCTTTGTACTTGCATTATAAAGAAATCGTGGACTTCTCTTTTGTCCTTTTTGTCAAAAAAAAAAAAATAATGTCACAGCTTTCCTCATCATCATAAATCATAATTCCCACTTCGTACGTCTATTTCATCTGCAAAGTCATTACTCCTTACGGATCTTCCAATCTGCTGGCTGGATTTAAAAAAAAAGATGCCTAGCAGCAAATTCAGCGGCAGGCAATTATCGTTTAATAACGACCTCTCAATAGTTTTTAGGGCCGCATTAACGCCACTTCCCCCATTTGACTTTGTTTTGCGTGCATATATGTATATGCCTAAATTCTCATGCACCGCTTCTATCCATCTCCATTACTCCTAATCTGTGACCAAAATTTGATTTTTCACCGACCCTTTTGAACTGGGATTTTGCCCTTTATTTTTCTGATTTTTCCACAACCATGGAGAACCCTTCTGATACCAATCAACAAAACAGCCGCATTTCGGGTGCTAAAGATGTTGTGGTGAAAGTGAGGAACAATTTGATCATCAAATCCAAGTGGGCTGAGTTGAATGGTGCAATGGGCGATTTGGGTACTTATATTCCAATCATCTTGGCTTTGACGCTAGCCAAGGACCTTAATCTTGGCACGACGTTGATTTTCACTGGGATTTACAACTTTGTTACTGGTGCAATCTATGGTGTCCCAATGCCTGTTCAGCCCATGAAGTCCATTGCAGCAGTGGCAATCTCTGATGTTGATTTTAACATCCCAGAAGTCATGGCTGCTGGGATTTGTACTGCTGCGATTTTGCTTTTGCTTGGTGCAACTGGGATGATGCAACTTGTGTATAGGTTCATTCCCCTGTCAATTGTGCGCGGAATTCAGCTTGCACAGGGGTTATCATTTGCAATGTCTGCTGTTAAGTATGTTAGGAAAGAACAGAACTTTTCAAAGTCGAAATCGGTTGGGGACAGGCATTGGTTAGGATTAGATGGATTGGTGTTGGCTATTATTTGTGCTTGTTTCATTGTTATTGTTAATGGTGCCGGTGATGATGATCGTTGCAGAGTGGGAACAGGGGAAGTTGAAGATGAATTTGGTGATATTAACAATGATTCCAACAGATTGACAAGGAAAAGGAGATGGTTGAGAAGAATCATTTTCTCTCTTCCTTCTGCTTTCATTGTGTTTCTGCTTGGAGTTGTTTTAGCTATTATAAGGGAGCCTAAAGCTCTGAAAGCCTTCAAGTTTGGGCCATCTTCCTTTGAAGTTGTTAAGATATCTAAGCATGCTTGGAAGGAAGGATTTATCAAAGGAACCATCCCTCAGCTTCCTTTATCAATCCTGAATTCAGTCATTGCTGTGTGTAAGTTGTCGACGGATCTTTTCCCCCAAAAGGACATTTCAGCTACATCAGTTTCCATCACTGTTGGGCTGATGAATCTTATAGGATGCTGGTTTGGAGCCATGCCATGCTGCCATGGAGCTGGTGGACTAGCTGGGCAGTATAAGTTTGGAGGAAGAAGTGGAGGGTGTGTAGCCATTCTCGGGTTGGCGAAATTGGTGTTGGGGTTGGTTTTAGGTAGCTCCATCGTGAAGATACTGAATCAGTTTCCAGTTGGTGTATTGGGAGTTCTGCTATTGTTTGCCGGGATTGAGCTCGCATTATGCGCAAGGGACATGAACACGAAAGAAGATGCATTCGTGATGCTAGTCTGCACTGCTGTTTCTCTCGTAGGATCTAGTGCAGCGCTTGGATTCGTTTGCGGGATTGTTGCTTATTTGATCCTTAAGCTGAGAAAGCTTGGTGATGGTAATGGACAGCCTTTTACATCCGTTTGCTTCGGCAGCAACCCTTGATTTTTTTCCCCAGAAATTTACTTTGTGCAATAGTGTTGTGTGCTGATGTTTGTTTGATACAACTAGGGCCCTAGATACAACTTCCGTCTCAAAATGATTGTCCGTTTGTTAGAGGGAGTATACAACTATCTGTTAATTCGTTTTGTTTTCGCCATTTCATGTTCGCGATCACGAACTGATCAGGTAGAAACTGTTTTCACTTTTCACCAAGAGGATTGAACTTTATGACAATTTATCATTGAGTGTCTATTTGAAGAAAGACATTAAGCATTGTGAAATACAGATCTTCAGTGGCTCTTAAAGCGATCATTAGGCTGCTTATTTTGTAGTTTAACAACACAATTTCTAAGTTTGATTTAAGCTATACGACTTGGACGGTTAACAATCCAATTCTTCTGGTTTGCAAACTGCAATTGATCGTTGTTTGGTTTCTCAACATACAAAGATTAAAATCATTTGATATTTCCTTCATCTACTTGTCAACTATCTCGATTGACCCACTCTCATCAATTTTTTTTTCAAAAAATCATGAATTGCGTTCAACTATTCGGGACTGTAAACTCCTGCTGATTGGGGTTATACTCAACCGAAAACTTCTGCAAGAACAGGCACACATAATGGCCAAAGAACATGAGGCTCGAAGAGGCTGAAATGTTGTTGCACCTATCATTTTCCCAAGCTCAATTACTGTATATCAAATATATTGTCAAGGTCACTAAGAAAAGATGAATGGGGTGGTAACAATGTTACAACTTTTCTTCCAATAAAAGGGAAGGCATTGGTTCAGACAACAAAGGTGATACAGAGGTTGCTTGCATGGAACAAGCCTCATGATTGGTATTGTGTATCTAACAGTTAAAACCTATTTTTCTGAATTTCAGGTTAGAAGAGTGTAAACTACATACTCCCTGTGGAGATGGAGTAGTTGATTAAGGATTTGAAGGATCGAGTCGAACTATTAAAATTTTCTTTCCTCCTTTTTTTTTTTTTTTTTAATTGTGATGTTATCATTTAGGCAATGATTATGCGAAGTGATTACTTAGTCCGCAAAATTAGAAGATGGTTTTCATAAGGATTGAGGACTGAAGTTTTGCTTGAGTGAAACTGTTAAACATGGATCAAAAGAATAAAAAGAAGTTATAAATCAAAGCATACACTGTACATCTTATATGTTAAATAATTGAAAAGATGCAGTACAAGCACCCAGCGAATGCGCCTGAGGGGAGCAAGTGTTTTCTGGATTCGATTTCTGTGCTGTTTTTGTCGTCCCAAATACATTTCAGAATAAGAAAGAGTTTCATCACTGGGTGCAGATGCAACCAAACCATCAGGACTCAGCCATAAAAAGATCTTAAAGAGAAGTGTGTCCAGTGAGTTCTGCATTAAAGGAGAACTCCATAGAGTGAGCTGATTCTGAGAAAGCCTGGGAGCTAATCAGCTCTCTAGTCATTCTTGTCCAGTGTTAATGGAGTTCAAGTTGGCATCTGTGTAAGTTTTCCAGAACTTGATGCCTGATGCAAGCAAGCCAGCTTTGAGAGGACACCAAGCAAGTGCTCTCACAGCAGCAGCAGCATGGTTTTGTAGTTGGAGAAGTCCCCTGGAATCGGTCCAGCTTCTTCATCTCTTGCTCTACATCTTTATGGAAATAACAACAAAACAATCGCCACGGGAAGATCCTGGGAATTTAAAATACTCCATGCGGACCTCATTATAAGGCATTTTGACTTTTCCTAAATTTCACCTAGTATGCATTTTTAATTGACAAAAAATTTTTACAAATATTTCATAACAATAAGAGAACATAAGGAATGTGAAAATAACTTTTTAAGGTTTTTTTTTGTCAAAAAAAAAATACGTACTAGGTAAAACCTAAAACAAATCAAAATGTCTTATATTAAGGACCGGAGGGAGGGAGTACTAATAACTCCACCCCAAAGGACTTTATCAGAGTCGGAATCATTCCAAATTCAAATTAAACCTGTGATTACTAAACCTTAAGGAACACATTTTGTTCTGGCGATTAGAGAAAAAAAATTTCACATACACAACAATTCCAGAAAATTAAAGCCAAATTAACAAGGTAGAGGGTTATATTCAGGATAAAATACCCTATCTCTGTCATATCTCCAAATGTTTTTTTTTTTTTTTTTTCCCTTATGGTCTGCAATGAAATGATTTTACAGGAAGGAAAGACAAAACACACTCTGAAGAATCATAGGGCTTATGCATTCACAATGATTGTGACGAAAACAACTGAATGAACCAGGATAAATCAAAGATATAACTGTTAAAGAAAAGTACAGAACCTGAATATTATGCGGCTGACTCAATCAAATCCTGATGGGCCGATTCTCATCGTAGAAATTTGCCTTCATTGTAGGTTAATGATTGAGGACCGAAGTTTCGGCTGAGTGAAACAGTTAAACATGGATCAAAAGAATCACAAAGTGTCAGAAATGCAAAAAATCACAATTTGTATTTTGCATGAATTGTGAATGAGAGAGAGACAGAGAGGATGAATGACTGATTTTTTTTTTTTTTTCTGGCAAAAGCGAATGAATGAAAGATTGGTGAATTTGGAGAAGAAAAATGTGAATTTGGGAAGATAAACAGGTTTTAAAAGCAAGCAAGAGAAGAGGCGGTGAGATTGTAAATATAAAAAGGCGCGCAATATTTTCGGAATCCCAATCCTAATAGGAAAGATGATGATTTTGAGGCCCCCCTTAAAAAGGAAAGAAAAATTTCATTATTGACCAATATATTATCCTACAAATCTTTCGCGATTTTGATAATATAAATATAATAAATCATCATTATGACCAATATATATATATATATATATATATATATATATATCAGCCAGCCCTTTTTTCTCCCCTGAATGAATTTCTTAGAAAGTCAGCCTTTGATGTCTTGAGTTTACAAACAAGATTGTCCCAATTCCAACAAAACTTTTTTCACTTTCGGAGAAAAATTATTAAGATGATGAATTGATGATACAAGGGGATGCGCTGACGCTGAAATATATAAAAAAAAAATTAAAAAAAATTGGATCTTTCTGCAACTGTGCTACGGCTATTTTCTAAATTTAAGGTTAGAAAGATTGTAAAGGCGCCACCTTTTTTGGTCCAATAGGAGCTGCTTTTCTTTTTATCAATCCCCCCTAAAACAGAACAGGATGGATGGCTAGATAGATTGGCAAAAGTGGGATTTTGCAGTTTTTGTCTGAAAAAAAAAATTATTGAGCGAATCAGACATAACATCTTTGAACAAACCGTTCCTTTCTTGTGGTGGGATTACCAGGAAATTTGTACAAGATTGAGAAAGGGCCATGAAAGGGGAAATTGAAGAAGCTAGAGTTAGATTGATAAGTAGGAACAGTGGTGGAAGTGGAGAGCCCAGATGGGTTGATGGAAGTGAGGCGGACTCAACAGAATCACCACACTGGTCATTTCTTGTAGGTGGTGATGATGAGAACAAAGAAGGTTATGGGTCTTTCAGGAGAAGGCTTGTCAAGAGGCCCAAGAGAGTGGATTCTTTTGACGTTGAATCTATGGAGATTTCTGGGGCTCATGGACATCATCATAACAAGGTTCCATTCCATTCAACTTGAAAGTTGGAAAACTGACATTTCCATGTATCTTCATCTTTCTTTGATTACTCTTTGCACCATCATTATTGACGTATTTTTTACATTTGTGAATGGCCTTCTGCATATTATACTCTTGTGTTGCAAGTGGATGTTTTTGGTCTTTCTAACTTGGTGGAGGCTGTGTTGTGGGAGAATCAAGTTCAGTCCTTTTAGGTTCAGCTTCAGTATACTACTGTTCTCAGTGTAGTTGATTTTGTAGCTGATAACATATGCGGACTGGAGATTAATATATACTCGAACAATGTTTTCAAGTAATTTACTATGTAATTCGATACCCTTTTGGCTGGAGGTACCTTTAATGCAAACTCCAAGGATTGGTTTATTGAAACTGAACGGTTGTTCATTGGTATAAATGCCTGGAGCCCTGCACTATAAAAATTCCTCAAAATTGGAAAAGCTCTGTTGTTTCTAGGAAATGTCCAAATCTATAGTTCCATGGTTCTCCTATCACTATCCATTTGTTCTTTATCAGAAGCAGAATAAAAGTGAAAATAAACTTGTTTTTCTTAACTGAATATTCCGCTCCAGTCGAAAAAAAAACCCCATCTGTTCTTAGTCTAAGTGGAGGAGAAAATATTTCAACTTTCCAGGGTGTTCTATTTGGTACAATTTGGCATAAATGAGTGTAACAGAAACAAGCAAACTTTAAAGCAGTGAATGATTAATCGAATCAGGTTGATGTTAAAAGCCTGCAAGGTGAAAATTTTCTTTTTAGGCAATTAGCTCAAGTGTTTGACACAGCATGAACATAATTTTTGAGATTCGTCTTTATTTGCTTATGTTCTAGACGGATCAAAGCGATTGGGTGTTGCTTATGATGTTGGTAATGTTTCTGTTATGCCTATCAGGATGCTTCTCTTTGGCAAACTCTTGCTCTGGCATTTCAAACTTTAGGGGTGGTCTATGGTGACATGGGCACAAGCCCTCTGTATGTCTTTTCTGATGTGTTCAGCAAGGTGTCCATCACATCTGAGGTTGATGTCTTGGGAGCGCTATCACTAGTGATGTACACAATTGCTCTCATACCTTTACTTAAGTATGTTTTCGTCGTGCTGAAAGCTAACGACAATGGAGAAGGTATGCACTTTCCCCTGGAGAGGTTTCATGTCTGAGTATTTGTGTGCATAATGGTTCTATTTGAATTTTGTATTTACTATTCTAATTGACAGGAGGAACGTTTGCATTGTATTCACTTATATGTAGATATGCAAAAGTTAGTCTTCTTCCAAATCGGCAGCAGGCTGATGAGTATATCTCTAGCTTTAAGCTCAAACTACCTACTCCTGAACTTGAAAGGTCTTTGAACATCAAGGAAGCGTTGGAGCGTAAAACATCCCTCAAAACCCTTTTATTACTTTTAGTTCTGACTGGGACATCAATGGTGATTGGTGATGGTATTTTGACCCCAGCAATATCAGGTCATCACTAGTCCTAGCCACTCATTTCCATTTATTATGAAATTTAAATTCAGGGGTTTTATTTGTAATGAAGCTGTATCAATTCGAAACTGCCCGTGTTTAGTGGAATAGCACCCAAGCTAAAGGATTAAGGCAAGCCGCAAGCGTCGTTTTGCATAATATTGGAACACCAAAGTTAGAAGTTCATAATTAATTACAGTTATTTAGCTGGGGGATCCTTCCCGATGAGACTAATTTGTTCACAGGATCAAAGGGTAACCATCATCCCTTCAATAGTTCTGCAATGAAATGGTGGAAGATGGATTAAAAAATTGGATATCTATATTTTGGAATTAGGAATTTACTTTAGTAGGGCAGATGCACATCATACTTTCTCAAAAATCTTGTCTTAGAATTAATGCTAGGAGAAACAAAATTCCTAAACTTTGGATTCACTTACTATGCTGATATCAAAATCTGGTTTTAACTGTGCCAAATGTGTAGAGAAAGCTATTTGCTAGCTCAAATGGCTAGAAAATGAGAACCGGTTAAATGTCGAGAATTAAAGCTTATATTTGTGTTTTAATTATCTACGAAATAACATGATTTTATTCCTAAGATGGCTGCTAATAAAACTTATCTGCTGCAGTTATTTCTGCTGTTAGTGGTCTGCAAGGTCCAATCAAGGGGTTTGGTACAGGTTTGTGAGCTTCCTCGTTACACATTTTGGCAGTCATGATATATGTGCATATGTACACCACTCTTTTAATCTTCTCATAATCGACTAACTTTTTTATTTAAATGCCAAGAATGTAACTGATTTAACAATGATGGTACACTTACAGAAAAGGTTTGATCAGAGAAACCTGACTTTTATTCGGTTTGCAGAAGCTCTTGTTATTACCTCAATAGTTATCCTTGTGGGACTGTTCAGCATACAGCGGTTTGGGACAAGTAAAGTTGGTTTCACATTTGCTCCTGCACTTGCTTTATGGTTTTTTAGTCTGGGGGCCATTGGAATCTACAATCTGATTACGTATAATGTGACTGTTGTACGGGCACTGAATCCAGTTTACATCTATCTTTTCTTCAGAAAGAATACTAGTAAGGCATGGTCTGCTCTCGGTGGATGTGTCTTATGCATTACAGGTAAATCTCTTGCTTTATCAGATTCTGATTGATAATTGTGACTAAATTTGTTTTACAATTTGTTAGTTAATGTATGTATAATTGGTCAAATTCTATCATCTCTAATGATGAATGAAGCTCTTATCCTTGGCCAGGTTGAACCCAAAAGTTATATTCCTCTCATACATTTTAATGTCACATTGTAATCATAAGGATGATAGTTCAACTATGGCTCTCATTCCTGATCCTGGGTTTTGCATTGTATACCACTTCATGTTCAACCAACTCAAACTCGGGTTTAGGTTTGAGTTTAAAAAGTTGAAAGCTTTGTTTGTAAATCTCTTTGTTGATAAAAATTTGTAAATTTTTTAGATTTGGCCTGGCAAAACTGAAGGCAGCACTTTGCTGTTTGTTCCTCCAGCTGGCATTGGTGTCTTTTCTTGTTTCAAGTTCTGCTGTGTTTTGTTGCTGTTGAGTCATTTTCATACGATTACTTGTTTATCTTTACTGTAATTCTGGGTTTTGGTTTGTAGTATTAATCGCCATCAGTTTGACAAAAAGTAGGGTTGATATTGTTGTAGCACTGAGTTAGAATTAGGGTTCCATTGTTAGAAAACGTGTGATGATACCGTATCATATTAATTTTGAGAGATATGAACGGATACTGATTGGCAGAAAGAATTCTCACAACTTGTGAATAAATGGAATGACTATTTCTTGAAGTGCTTCTCTATGCCACTCCAAAGGAAGTAGAAGTGAATTTTGCTGGCTAATTGTACAGTTTCAAATATTCCTTTTGATGCATGAATGTTAAATATCATGGTATTAGACACCTTGCATTTTCATCTTGGCTGAACGATTCAATATCTGATCCTGTCCTCTAGACTGGAGCGGAACATTTTTTCTGGATCAGGGTTTATAATCTGCACATTATGACTAATTTCAGGAGCAGAAGCAATGTTTGCAGATTTGGGCCATTTCTCAGTGCCATCAATACAGGTTATTTTGCTGACAACTCTGGTTCAAACATTCTTTCGTTGCCTTCATGCTGTACTTCTTGGTTCAACTGCCATGGATAATCTATTTTATGTACATGGACAACCTCAGATTGCTTTCACAAGTGTCGTATTTCCCTGCCTTCTCTTTGCATATATGGGACAAGCTGCATACCTTACCAAAAACCCTCATTCGGTTGATCGGATATTCTATGATTCTGTTCCAGGTAATGCTTTCTGAAAATATGCTTTCCAGTATCCTCCATACATTCTTTTCTTTTGCCATTTTTTCTTTCTTCCTTTTGTATTCTGAAATTTGAATATTACAATCTTTCAAGCTTATACACATCCTTTGACATTAATATCCTTTTGCCAAAAAGCAGATCCTCTATTCTGGCCCATTTTTGTGATAGCCACAATTGCTGCTATAATTGCTAGTCAGGCCATGATATCTGCTTCCTTTTCATGTATCAAGCAATCTATGGCGCTTGGATGCTTTCCCAGATTGAAGATAGTTCACACGTCTAGAAAGCTTATGGGCCAAATTTACATTCCTGTCATCAATTGGTTTTTGATGATTATGTGCATTATTGTGGTTGCTTCATTTCAAAGCACTACGGATATAGCCAATGCATATGGTTAGTGACCATTTTTCAAAACTTTTAATTTCTTGTCATTAAATACTGGAAAGGTCTTAAAATAAACTAGTGCTTCTAAATCAATCATGTTTTTATTTTGAATAGGAATTGCAGAGGTGGCTGTTATGATTGTGAGCACTAGTCTGGTGACGCTTGTAATGCTTCTGATTTGGCAAACCAACCTATTTCTTGCTCTAAGCTTTCTTATGGTCTTCGGAACGATAGAGCTCATTTACCTCTCTGCTGTTTTATCCAAGATCCTGGAGGGGGGTTGGCTTCCACTCGTGTTTGCCACTTTCTTTCTCTGTATAATGTACACCTGGAACTATGGTACTGTGCTGAAATACCAAAGTGAAGTTCGTGAGAAAATCTCAATGGATCTCATGCTTGAGCTTGGTTCTACACTTGGAACAGTAAGAGTGCCCGGTGTTGGCTTACTCTATAATGAACTTGTTCAAGGTGTTCCATCCATATTTGGACGATTCTTGCTTGAACTTCCAGCTATACATTCTACTGTTGTGTTTATCTGCATTAAATATGTCCCAGTCCCTATTGTCCCTCAGGAAGAAAGATTTATGTTCCGGAGGGTTTGTCCTAAAGATTACCACATGTTCCGCTGTGTTGCTCGCTATGGCTATAAGGATGTCAGAAAGGAAGATCACCATGCATTTGAGCAACTTCTCGTTGAGAGCCTCGAGAAGTTTTTGAGGAAGGAAGCTCGGGAATTCGCCCTGGAGAGCTCTCTGCATGAACCAGAGTTAGATAGCATTTCTGTGATATCAAAGGATTCTGGACCTCCGGATGGAGATACTCTTGGAGAGCTAAGGACCCCTTTGATGCATGATGATAGAATGGAAGGATCGGGAACTTCAGTTTCTGAAGAAACTCTTGCTTTGCCAGCTAGTGTCATGTTAGTGGATGAAGATCCTAGCCTGGAGTATGAGCTTGCAGCCCTCAAAGAAGCTTCTGATTCAGGATTTACGTACTTGCTTGGGCATGGAGACGTGAGGGCAAAGAAAACTTCGTGGTTCATCAAAAAACTATTTATAAACTACTTCTATGGATTCCTTAGAAGCAATTGCAGAGGTGGCGCCGCAACAATGAAACTTCCCCACACGAATATTATGCGAGTCCATATGACATATATGGTCTGATCCTCAAATTTAAATCTTCTAATTCAGTGGCTTCAGAATATTTTGCCTGCTTTTGTAGAGCAAGATAGAGAGCAACTTCAGAGTATTGTATTTCTTGAGCAGTAACTTCATATATTAACAAGCATTATCCGCATGATCTTGGTAATTTCATATTCCGTTTTTACTCAGAATTGTCCATTGTTGCTAATACTATAATACATAGCTTTAAAAAGTCTGCTAGTGATAATTTGTTAGGTAATTTGAAAATCATATTAGAGCGTTGACTGTCAACAAGAAGTATTCTCTGTTGCAAAGGAATGTGGCGAGTAAGATTGGCTGTTACCATTGCAAATCTGCTCCCAGAAAAGGAAAAAGAAGAAAGGAAAGAGAAGAATTCACACTTTGTGCTGCGCTGAGATTTTGCTTTCCCTAGTCTCCCGGAGATATTTCTTTATTTGTATCATTACTACGTTGACCTTATTTCTTCAAAAGCGACTAGTGACAAAGATAGAAGGGTCATTTTCAGCTGTAGTTTATATGCCTCTAATGAATCTGCTCTCCTCCCTGGCTTTGGCACTGCATTGACATCTTTATCAGTTGTGCAATTGATGATATCCCAATGCCTGTCCTGCAGCCTATGAAATCAGTCTGCAGTGGCAATCTCTGATACTGATTTTAAAATTCGAAATGTCATGTGTAGCAGGGATTTTACTTTTACTTGGAATTACTGGATGATGCAACATTTTAATGGGCTCATTCCATCTATGTTGTCAGGGAAATCAACTGGGAAAAGGGTTGTCATTTGTCCTAGCTTAGCTGTCTTTGGTATTGATGATTGTAGGTAGCTCCAGTTGGTCTATTGGGAGTTCTGTTTTTGTTTTTTTGGAAATGAACGGGCTTTACGCGCAGGGAAGAAGATGCATTCGTGATCCTAATCTGAACTGCTGTTTCACTTGTGAGATCTTGGATTTATTTGTCGGATTGTTACTTCTTTGAATCTTATCAGTTGAAAGAACTTGATGATGGTCAGCCTTTTTCTGTCATCTCTTTGGTTTCGCAGAAAGCCTCAAATTTTACTCCAAAGTTAAACTTTTAACTTCCTACCGTCACCATTTTTATGCCCCGTTCTTAGTTAAATATGTATAAAGTTTTCTGTTCGTTTACGTCATGTTCGAGAAATTATTGGATGATCTGTCTCGCTTATTGTGCGTACTTTAATCATGTTTGTTAGTGAAACAACGACACTTCATGAAATGAAACTACATCGTGACGGCTCCGAGGACGCATGGTTCGGTAAACATTAAGTAGAACAAAGGATCTCATGCAATATGTAATCCACCATTGAAAATGTAAAGAGCATTTTACACTTTTTTCACCTCAAACACCAGCTAGAAATGGAAATGAAATGGTAACACAATGGGGAGGTGAAATTTCAATCCCTTCCACCTGATTTCAAATACAAAAAGTGTTAACAAAAGACATAAAAAATATTAAAGAATTCAATACATAGACTTCCAGTTGTGAAATTGCACACCATTCTACCATATGGGAGTTCTAAGTAGCGTTACACACATTTCCACAGCTGCCAAAGCATTCATTTCTTGCATTAGCTGCCAATGGAAACACAAATCCGTTAGAAATCAAGCAGAGAATAGAAAGGAAAGGAGAAAAAAAAGAAAAGAAAAAAGGTATATATTTCTTTCTGTTACTACTAAACTACTACAACCAGGTCGTGTTTTGTGCTCGTAACAAAAAGACTGTGTTTCGTTCCAAGGTTACCTTTTTTGATGGGGAGGCAATGCTGAGCTGAACAACCAACATGACAGTAGTAAAGCTGGTTTTCGAGGGCGGATTGAGGCGTAATGCAGCTTGCGACGCAGCCCAAATAGCAAGGATAATTCCCTCCTAATGTTCTGCCATCCAGAAGGAAACACACATTGTAACATCCTCCCAAGCATGAATATAAGGTCTGCCCCTGCGCCTCGACATTCTGCGCTAACGCAATGGCTGTAAAAACAGTGATCATCAAGCACAAAAACCTGTCATTTTTCGCCATTTCGGTTACTCTTTTTTTTTTCCCCCCTTCCCTTTTACTAGCTTGCTATATATATCTGAATAATGTAAGAAAGAGTTGGAAATATGTTTAGAATTGATTGGGGGGAAAAAAAGGGGCTATCTATAGACGGAAAAGCCAACTAACATTGGTGCATTGAATACAATATGGTTAGAGTAGGTAAATTTTTGTTTTCCCCAAAATATGGAATAGGAATCATTCACATACAAAAGAATCCAGCAAAAAGTAATGGTCTAATCCATCAAAAGAAAGTTAGCTGTGAATGTAAATGCTAAACATGATTTCGTGTTAGCTAGCTAGTAGTATTATTGGTATTGATAGTACAAAGACTTCTCCCCCATCCTATTCAAAAGTCAAGATAATAGTTGTAGACTGATTTTGGCGTAATCAAAGTCCTATTTTACCTTCACTTGCCAGTACTATAAAGTGATTATGGTGGAGTCTTCACCTCGTGTTAGTACTACTAACAAAATTAATAGCTGAAAAATGGATACATATATTATGTTGTGTCCCTTACAACATTACCTTTGCTGATGAAGTTTCGTCATGTCACAAATTGTCACCGGATTCTATACCTGACTAAACATCAGAGCTTTCTAGTTTCTACCATGCATGATTGTCACCCTAAATACCATCAAATCATGGTTGGGCAAACAATTAATAGCTTACATTATGTGAGCGAGAAAAAAGGGTTCTGAAATCAGGGAAACATAAAGAAGAATCATTATGAAATTCGTAGTACTAGTCTCTGTGGCAGCTATATATTCAAAGGCATGCATGAAGTGCAATAAATTTTTGCCGACAGTGTAGGTGTGGACAACAGTTTACCTTTAGCCCAATGTATGTTACTGCATTAATGTTTAGTAGGATCAAAATGAGCTACGTTTTCCTTAGTCTTCTTCTAGATTTGGTACGAATAATCCTTTTCATTTCCACCCTTCAAATTTACTTGCTCCTTCAAGATAAGAAATTTTCAATTTTGGTCGTGTTACAATTCTATTCGTCCTAAAATAATTATCTTAGGTACGTATTACTCCCTCTGGTCCTTATTATAATGCATTTAGATTTTGTCCTACGTTTCACCTAGAATGTCTTTTTAATTGAAATAAAAACCTTAAAAACATTTCATAGTAATAAGAAGAACACAACGAACATAAAAATATCTTTTTAAGGTTTTTTTTTCTAATGAAAAAAACATCATAAGTGAAATCTAAAACGAAAACAAAATAACTTATAATAAGGACCGGAGGGAATATATTATACAATACACGATAATCATTTTAGAACAGCGAGAGTACTTTTTTTCCCCTATATACTAGTTTCTAATGGGCCTTGACATTCAAAAGCCTCGTACAAAATGAACCTGTACAGATAAAGTGCAAAACGTAGATGCTGGTTGATGATGCTTGGGAGTTGAATAATTTCTGGTTGGCCTTCCAAATTAAATGGCCGAGGGAGGAGGTCTATTTGAAATGACAGAATCAATAAAAATTATATACAATCCGCTCCCAAAGGAAGGAGAGCTTTTTATTTTCCATATTTTGTGTGACCTGGCAGAGGGGTTGTGGACGAATTGTGGACACCCAAAGATTTGCTTTATCTGGTATTGATGGAAAAATAGTGAAAGAGAAAAAAATAAACATTGCTTGGAAATGTTACAATGTTACCAGTGGAGAAATATAGGAAAAAGTCTCGGTTCTAACTAACATTGGGGTCAAGAGAGGAAATTGGAAATTTGTTCAGGTGCATAAAGGTCTTGTGGGATTTGAAAACATTGGTACCAGGTGATAAAATGATGATGAATATCATCAATGTAAACCTCATTCAATAAACGAATTTTTATTTTTAGGAAACTATTTCTTTGTGAAAAGTAAGGGTAAAGTTGAGTATGAACGTTCCTTCCCATTTATATACACTATTCCCTCCTGTCCTTGTTATAAGACATTTTGATTTGTCTTAAGTTTGTCTTAAATTTAACCTATGATATCATTTTAATTGAAATAAAAATCTTAAAAATATTTCCTAATAATTAAGAGAACACGACGAATGTAAAATATATTTTTAAGATTTTTTTTTCTAATTAAAAACGCATCTTAGGTAGACAAAATCAAAATGTCTCGTAATAAAGGACAGGTGGGAGGTAGTAAACTAAACCGGGGAGTCTTTGATTATGAAAAACAGTACTGATCAAATTCATACATTGGAGATAGTGACTCTAAATCACTTCACGTGAGTGATAAATATCCTATAAGGTTAGATCTAATTAAGCTATAACATTGTCGTTCTCGCAATGTCCTATAATGTTATACATTCTTTGGTATTCCAGCAGGAGATGCGGACTCAGAAGTTTGAGGTCCATTGTTCTGTACTTCCCTTGCACAAACTGCATAATCCATCATATTTCACGGGCATTGGATGTATCATTACACATGATCTTCTTGCAGAAAATCATTGATTGACCATATGTGTTTTGCTGATCAGTTATGATTCTCTCGCTCGCTTAGCTATCCGAACGGGTTTCCTCCGGTGGGTGTGGATGAATACGGATTTGGTGCTGTTGATGAGGGAATTACACCACTTGGTTGTCGAACCGGATTAGGCGAAGCAAAAGCATCAGTATCATGATGATTTCCACCGCTGGACTGATGATGATGAATAGGGTTCAGTGAACCAAAGGCAGCATCATTCCTGTCAAAGCTGTTAACTCCTTGAGGTCTGCAAAATGGCAAATAAAATGAAGCCACTCTGTCACAACCATTCGTGAGAATCGCGAAAATGAAGCCCACAAAAAAAATAATAATAATAATTAAGAATTCAATGCTGTTTTTATAGCTGCAACTTTTGCTGCGTTATTCGCTTGTGTATTTATATAATGTAAGGTGTTACATCAACTAGAAATGCTTGTAAATTTTCAGAGTTTCTGAAACTTTTTGGAATAGGTTTATGTACTAGTTCAATTCATCTTGTTTTAGTTGATGTATCTTTTGCAAAATGCAAGTTCCATCAGTATCTCTGTGTTGGAAAGAAACTCAATCTGATAAATAAAAACACTTGTGATCACATTGGAAAAGTTTTGCATTAACTCTCCCATGAGTTGGACATGGGAAGACCCCTAATTGCATTTCTTCCTTTCATTCTACTAAACCACCTAGTCAAACAGACCAAATTCATCACATAATGCCATATGAACCACAGTAAGTTTACCTGGAAGGGTGCGTATTATTTGGTGGCTGTAGTCCCATGTATGCTCCTGAAACTATTGAATTATCCAACATGAGAAGAAACTATATTATCAACAAGATGACATAATATGTGTAGCAATGATCGTCGGGGTTTCAGGTCATTAACCTGGAGGGATCATCATTCCGTATGGTCCCTGAGGAGGAAATGGAGCTGCATAAGGTGATGCTTGAGGCTGTAATCCTAGTGACAAAGCTGTATTCGGGAGCGCTCCTTGAACAGACGACATGGAAGGGAACTGCAATCATACCAAGAAAAGAAAAGCTCATAACCACAACAAAAGTTCATGTAAGGATATGAGAATCACTATCTGGATTAGTCTCTACATACCGTTGTGGCTTCAAGTTGAGGGCCGTCATCACCTATGTCGAATGGGTTTCTTGATTTTCCTGAATCTGGAGTAGGTCTTATAGGCTGTAACCAAATATCAAATAAGAAGAAAATAGATTTTTTTTTTTCCCTTTTAAGAGAGAAAAATTGCAACCAAATCTGTTTACAATTCTTTTTTGTATTGAGTAAGCTATTTGACTCAAAAGATTCTCTAAATGGTTGAAGTGGGAGGTTTTACCATAGCAGTATGATGGTACTGCATGCCATATCCCATTCCATAAGGTGGTCGAGATTGCCAAGAAGGAACAGATGTGGGAAATGGCGAATAGCTTGAGGCGAAAAGGTTCTGCACATTAGACACAATTCATAACCATATTCTGCAAAATAGTGTGGAAAATAACAGAATAAATTCAGATATTCTTCATGAGTGTACCGCTGGAAGCTCTTGTCTACTATTAGGTACTGGTTCATTTCCTGAAGTATTGCCCTGAGGTGCTGCAGTTGAGGCCACTTGCAGCGCTTGCTCGGATGATGCATTGGTTTGTGTTCCGCTAACAAGAGCAAGTTCTAAATTCGAGGACTGCAGATCAAAGAAATCAAGATCATATACTGCATATCATTAGACCAAAAGTTGAGGAATTGCCAAATCTGTTCCAAGGAACATGAAAAAGCAAACAATGACCTGATTATGTGAAGCTTCAGGATTATTAGATTGTTGAGCAGGAGAGGTACTATTTTCTGTAGGAACAGCACAGGGAAGGCTCTGCTGCATTGGCACCAACTGTAGCTGATTAGTAGCAGTAGCCTGTGTTGCACTGGTATTATCAGGCACCACGGTGGATGGTGCTGATGTCGAAACTGATGGAATTTCGCCATCAGGTGCCAATCCGAATAACAAAGCTTCCAGTGAATTTTCATTGGTGTTGGCAGAGACAATCTGAGTTTTCGCAGATGTAACAGAGGTGTCAGGAGTGTCATTAGTCTTTTGCTTCTGCTCCACTTCTGAGGTTGCAGCAGACTCAGGTCCATCGAAATCAATCAAACTGCGAAGAGTATTCACTGCTTTGGTTTCCTCTACTTTCTTCTCAGCAGGGATATTGTTGGAGCTTCCGGCCATCTATCATAAAATATTATTGAAAGATAAAAGAAAGGGATTCTGGATATATAAAATCAAATAATATTGATTACGTATAAAGTTTAAATGAAGCGCCGGTGACATATGATCCATATAACTAACCCTAATTAGAATGATAAACACTCTCATTTGTTGCATGCTTAAGAGTTAAATAACATTTGCAGCAACATAGGAAATGTGAAATGAACTAACCTGCACTTTGGAAGAGCCATCAACTTTATTTGCTTTAGAAGATTCTCCAACTTTGAGGGATGAAGCTTTGTCACCCAAAATGTCTTTCAGTGGGCGCGGTGCTACTGGGCTTGCACCATCACTGCTCTTCTGTGAAACCGGTGAACTGCTTCGGGCCCTAGAATCTTCATTTGAATGCCTATGAAAACCATATCTTTTAATGCTTCCAACTCTATCTTTCCGAAATCTGTCATCAACTATTTCAAAGCGAGGGGTTCGAGAACTATGACTGCCAGACCTAGGCTTGTCTTGTCTGTATTGAGGACTATTTCTTTCCTCGCTGTAGTGTCTTGGATTTCTGTCATCATTTTTCCTACTCGAGGTAGAATTTTCAAATGAATGGCGCTCAAACTGATCAAGTGCTCTAAAAGAACGGATTTCAAAAAAGTCTTCTCTGGCGCCATAGCTGGATCCTTCAAAAGAGGAGCGTTGTTGATAATCATCTCTCCCACCCTTAAAATGTATCAACAAGTATGTTAGTCCACATTTTATCAACAAAAGCATTGCATAAAAAAATAAAAAAAAAATCGAGACAAAATCGCTATGAATAAACTACATTGCCAAGGGTAAATGTAAGCATTACACAGGCAGTCATTGAAGCTTACTTACTGCTTTAATCATTGAGAGCTTGTCATTGCTTTTCGCACTAGGGGAGTTCACTGGCCTTACTTCATTGCTAATTGCACCAGAATATTTCCTATCCAAATACACATGCCTGATGAAATCGCGAAGCCTGTGAAGATTACTGGAAAATGAAAACAAGCAGTATCTCATTAGACTTAAGCCATCAAATAAGCAAATATCTAATGACAAGATGAAATGAAATGAATTTTACCTTCCATCAGGAAAAGAATTTCTATGAGGATCCCATGCCTTGAAATAAATCTGTCGCGCTCGCTGTCAAAATCGTAGTTTCCATTAGCTATTATAGGTTGAAACCTTAGTAAAAGTTGCTGAAGATATCATAACCTATACTTAAAAAAAAGGTAAAACTTGAATTTCTATGCTGGCAGCAGACCTCATTACCCCCAGCTTGAAGAGCATTAACTTCTTCTGCAGAAAATTTCGCCATCGACACTGATTTTACCCGATGGGTGAACTCTCGGCTGTAGGGTTTTTTTTTTTTTTTTTTTCCCAGTAAGAAAAATGTCATGAACAGGATGAAAGGGAAAACAAAAACCTGTAGTTGGAAAAAAAATAAAATAAAATGTTGAATTCCACTTACTGCACACCACTGCAATTGGTGCAAACAAAGGTCCAGAAAGTTGTGCATACATATTGCGGCCCCTGCAAGTGTAAATTAATGTACGCACAGTTCAAAACTAGCTATCTACGATATCAATGGCGGCTACTAAGATTGAGTTATATTACTGAAAAATTGCTACTCTCTCCGTCCCAAAATTATTGTCTGATTTTTATAATTTTGGGACAGAGGACGTATTTAAAAATAGGAATAATTTTGGGACAGACTACGAGCTAACAAACTTTCTTCACTCATGAAAGTGAAAAAAAAAAAAAAAAATCGGAACAGTTTGCTTACCAAACTGTTGCAGTTGATGCATCTCTTATTCTCTGGAAGCTTTAGAAGACCACGGATGATCTTCTCAATTCTCTCTTCTTCCTTTATTTTCTTCGGCATTTTCCTACCACTTTTTTTTTTTTTTTGGGGGGTCTTCTTTGATCTTCCCTATGCCAAAAGGAAAAATCAAAATTGAACCCATTGATTGAACTTTCAATCGCAAATTGAAAAAAAAAAAAAATGCCGATTGAATCATGTAATCTTTAATCATCAAATTGAGTTTCGAATTTGCACCTTACCCTTTGGTTAAGATTTCCCAGGCACCAAAAAAACACCTTATCTGATGAGATGAATCCAGGGCATTATAATGGCCAATTTCATCATGCAAGAATCTGGGACAATCACAAAAAGAAAACCTTAAATTCCATTCCACCGAGGAAAGAAAAGTAGGTTACTAAGAATTGTTGAGATGATGATGAGATGGCTTGCTGTTTTTTGCTGAGAGAGAGACAGAGGAGAGGCAAAGAGGGAATTTTGGCGGTTTTAACGGTTTTGTGACCGTTACTGTTTTTTTTTTTTTTTTCTTACCCTTTTCCTACTAATATTTGTTTTTTCATTTTTTTTTTTTGGGGAAGATCATTTTAAGTTAGCTGGAAAAAATAATAAAGAAACCTAATGCAAAAATAAAGTTTGCTGAGTGAACATCCTATCATTCCTACCTATATTGAGTTTCTTCCGACTGTTGTAAATGTACATTGATAAATAACAATAGCTTACCATCCGAAAATAAACTTTGCCATCAGAAAACTATTGACTAGGAATTGGACCATAACAAAGGTAGAATTATGCTCGCTCCGTCCTAGAATAATAGTTCAATTTAGAAAATAAAAAAGTTATAAATCGGATAATTTAATATTTAAAATTTCTTATGAAAATTAAATACGTGAGTCCGGACGGCTCTCTCACTTACCCAGTTTTTGAATCTTATTATCACTTAAAAACTTTTAGATTTTATAGTACTATTTATGTAAATTATAAATTTTTACTTCAAATAAATTTATATCATGCTCATTTGCATTGAAAAGACGGGAAACAGAGTACAAAGTTGAGAGGAATTCATGTAATAGGGATGATCAGGTTGTAAATTGAGTTCAAAGTTGTGACAAGTTAATATAATTAACCTTTCACAAAAAAAAAAAAAAAAAAACGGAAACAATCGACATAACACGTAATAGAGTATCTTATGATAGCAACATTCCATCGCGCAATTCAACTTAGGCGAAACTTGATATAATGTACTCCATTTTGCACTCGCTCATCGTGTACTTGCTCATCAATTTCTATAATCCGACTAACGACTAGATATTGTATCAAAATGTTGAGGGTCATGTGGCAAGGATTGTGAATCCCACATCGGAGATATGAAGACAGGTGAATCAGTTAATAAGTAAGGTGGACTCAGAACTTATAACCTTGAACGTTTGAGTTCAAATGGGTCTTATCTTACTTATTGGGCTGCATGTCGGGTTTTCTCCTTCGGATAAATTCCCAACACAAAATTAATTGAAATTTAACCTTTTAGTTTCCTAATATCTATTGAAACATTTTTTTTTTTTTTTTTGCTTTGAAAACTCCTCGAATTATCAGTAGCAATGTAAAAGTTAAAAAATATATATTTATTTTTATTTAAATTTTTTGTGTCGACTTTTATCGTCACCTTAGTCAACTTGACGATAGAGTCCGCGAAATCCAAAACCTCTATTTTGTATCATTTTCAAAATTTTATGATGATAATATAGTTTGGTAATTAAGAAAATTCATTTTCCCCTTGAAATTTGCAACTTTTCTAGATTACTATTTATATAAAATTATAATTTTCTATCTTTAAAGTTAAAATAAATTATACTAGTAACTTATTTGTTTGTGTTAAAAAGACGATAAAAAAAGTCAATAAGTATGTATATAGTATGTAGCATATTATCTTTTGTGTCTAAATTTATAGTTTGAACTTGATATAGTGCTGAGTGCACTTTATTGTTGACAAAGGTCGTCAACTTTCATAATTTGACCAAAATCTAGACGCGATTCGGAAATGTATTAAAAAAGAAAATCTTACCATTCAGTTTTCCCTTGCCTGTTGAAAAACCTGTTACATTGAGATATTTGTTGATTTATCGGTATTAATGTAAAAGCCAAAAAAAAAAAAAAAATTATCTTGAAAACATTAGCGTCAACGTTTTTGTCTACTTAGTCGACGGATGCCAAAATCCATTATTCATGTGGAGTATCATTTATTTACTTAAAAAATTATGGTCTAGTATCAATTTCATTATATCTGTTAATTTTTTTTAATGATAATATGATATTATTTTCGAGTAAAATGGCGGGCCACAAAGATGTTTGGTAAATAGATCGTCAGTAGACTTAATTTTAGTTTCATGTGTTTTCTCGTCCAATGCATCCCTTTTATGTTTACCTCATTTCTTGTAATTATTATTATTATTTTGTTACAAATGGAATTCGGAACAGGTATTGTTTGTCATATTAACTTAGTGCATTTTTCCAGTATTGAAGGATCAGCTTCTCACCACCAACTCCTAACGCATAAACAAAATTCTGATTTCTGTTATTGAAGTTTTGGATCGACTAATTGTTTGACCCCTGTTATTTTCAAAAGTCTCATCAGATCACAAAATGAATTAAGTTGGGTAATGCCCACCACATAGGCTAGCTAACCTTGCGATTATAGTACTACATCATTGAAGCGATTATAATGCATTTTATGCGCCATATCTGTGGCCGGCTTACTGCCAAGTTGGATTTTGCCCTGCTAATGACGGGATCGAAACATCAGCAAGTTTCTATCTCGAGTACAAATCGAGGCCAGTGATTCTACATTTTAACCGAATGCAACTCTAATAAAGCGATTCTTCCACTTGACAAAGCAAAGAGAATTGGACAAAAAACACTCTACACTATGCCATACATTTTTCCATCAAAGAACAGGCCACATGTATTGATGAGGAGAGTACAGAACACAAACTGAATTGACATGTACACAATTAACAGCATTGATATTGGAAACCAGCTTCCCATTATGAACCGATAACAAGCGGAGGTACCTGAAAGGCTGCGCTTCAAATGACCTAATGATATTTCACTCGCTAATTACAGCATATCATCATCAACTTGCTTATGGATATAACTCTATGCCGAAAAAATAACACGCTGATCCACAAGCAATTGCACATGGATGCAGGGTGTGCTATATTATTTTCGTTCCTTCGATCCCTCCATCAATAATAATCACTAAAACTAACGTTAACGGCCCTAGCCACAGAGGAAGACAAAATCAGGGGGGGCGAAACATTCTGTACAAATGATAAACACCAAAAATTCCACTCCCCATGTTAAATAAGACACCAACCTGTTCCTCTGGGCTGAGAAATCCTGCTCCTCAGAAACCTAATCAGAGAAAAGACTAGAAGTTATGTACGGGACCTACATGAAGAAACAAGCTGGTGTTTTGGGGAATGCAGCATTCCGGTGCGGCATACGCCACATTTCTCAACAAATTGCAACCAAATGGTGCAGCCTATACTCATCACGTTCATCCAGAGGATGTTGAATGAGTCTTGAGAAGAGGTCAGAGATCAATCTCAAACGATGTGGTAGGCAAATCAAGATCACCATGAATGCACAATTTGAGTCATTCTGCCATTACCCACGAAAATTTCACACCAATACAAACTTCGGATCCACCTACAATTTCAAAGCCAGCAGTTTACCATCTAACGGACATGAAGTCATCCTAACCACCACCATTTGAGCTCTCAAAGGCATCTTTTTTTGCCTCAGCTGTCATAAGAGCCACATGGGCCTTGTGAATTGCTAAATCTGCTTTATACAGTAATCTTATGGCATTTTCCCTCTTGAGTTTTGCCATGTAAAGAGCATGTTGAGCAGCACCTGATGAATCGCGCAACCTAAACTCATGAAGATCCGAATCATCCCATAGCTCCATCCCGTGCCTCAAAGATCCTTCCGAATAATGCTTTTGACTTGGCCACTCAGGCAAGTCCATAGGCCAACGGTGAACCCCATTTTTCATTCCAACAGTTCTCTGAGGATATGGAACCAGCTTCACACTACCTGGGGAAGAAAGTAGCCCATTCTTTTTCTGCTTGTTCCCAGGGTATTTTGGGTAATGATTCCACTCGGTAACATCATTATTTAATGAGATAAAGCCGAGCCCACCACCAGCATCTCTTGGTGAGAATACCCTGGCAGAGGCCTGCAAGGAGGGTGAAGAATCTGAAAACTCATGGCTGTAGCCAGAATATAAATTCCTCTCCTCCCCCACAGAAAAACCATTTAATCTTCTTCCTGGAACAATAAAATCGAGGAGTTAAGGAACTCTTCCAATAAAAGAAAAATGGACAAATATGAACTGATTACAACTAAAGAAGAGGTCTTCACCTAGTTGCCTGAATGGAGAGATGAACTTACCAAATGTGTGAAAGCCATCCTGATCACCAAAGGCATGGCTGTGCCCAGATACAGGAAACCTTCTATGAGATCGTTGCTTCGAACCCTTGTTAGGAACTTCCAGACCTCGAGGTTTAAGACAGAAAGCAAACATAGGAGGCCTTTCAATTAGTGTTGCCTTCTCCTTGCTTCCAACAGCAGATGCAGCAGAAGTCCTAGCCACAGCTTGTTCCCACTCCTTCACTTGCTGCTGATATCTTTCCCACAGAGGAGGCTGAAAAGGAAAAAAGAAAAAAGGAAAAAGGAAACTGAGGAATCTCGTTCAGCAACATGAGCCTCTGTTTACGGACAGAATAAAACAAATTTCTCTCAAGAAAACTAAGACACTAGACAACCAATTAGATCCCATCAAATGGCAGCATTCTTTAGAAACCAAAAATACATTGCAATTTTTGCTAGCTCAACCATAAATTTAACCATTCATCCAACACAACAGGAGAGATAAAAACCATATACGTGAACAATCTATTATTTTGGACCCCACGGAAGAAGGCATAGAAACATAAATCTTCAGCACTTTCTAAACCACAAAAAAAATAATAAAGTCGAATTAGCATGATCAGTCAAGAACGCGTCAATAAGGTCTTTCAGAGGATGAAGATAAATCAAGGTTTCCAAAACAAGAAAAGCCACACCCGAAAAACCCACCACAGGCAAACAACTAAGGCCCAAAAAAAAAAACAAGAAGAAAAAAAAGAAAAAAAAAAGAAGAAGAAGAAACTAACAGACGAAGTAAGATTAATCCAAATCCCAATCTCTTTGACATAGTGATAATGTAACCATTAAACTTCAACCCCGTTCCTTTTTCTAGGGGAGGGGGCTACTCTACAATGTAGTTCGCAATATATTCAGGAAGTAAGGGGTGCAAAACAAAATGGCAATCTCAGGTATATAGCGGATAAATGAGAGATGCATCAGAATGATGAAATAGGTGCATGTTAGGTTCTGTTTGATAAAAAAACAATAACCAAGACCTAACTGATTCGGTATTTCACATTTCTAATCCAACCCCAGCATCATCAGTAGTTCGCACAGAAAATTCATACATGATAAGAAAGAAGCCAAAAATCCTGTAACCATGTGATTCCATCAACTAGAAAACAATTCAACGCAAATACCAGCTACCAGAAAGAGAAAAATTTATCACTAATAGCAAGGAAAAGACTAATCACTCTGATACAAAAGAGTAGGCATATGCAGAATAAAGGATCAGGTATAAAAAAGTTAACTAAAGACGTTTAAAACAAGCAACAGGTTTGTCCAGATGATTATACAGTAAAGTACATGGAAATTTCTAGCCTCAATATAATTTGACAAGTTTGGTGGAACTTCGAGTAAAAGACAGCAAAATTGACAACAAAGCTGGATTCTAAGAATCAAAGTACCTGGAAATGGCGTATCAAAGGCATGCCCTTCTTTTGCCTCTTATGCCGCCAATGCTCATAGATGTCCTTAACTGTTTCACAGGGACATATCCCAACAGTTAGATCTTCTAATTCGTCAACACTAAATTGATCGCGCTGTTGAGAGTATGCAAACTTTTCAAGTACATCTACCACCTTCTCAAATAGTTCACAAGATCTCTCTCTAAAACTATTATCATTGGTTGATAAAAAATTCCCACTTTCCACTATCCAGTCCTCATCATCACTATCCATGTCATATAAGATACGCAAAGGATTCATGGCCATTTCAACATCAGTTTCATCTTGCCTGATGTACATTGCAGGGTTCCGGAAAAAATGTACATCAGACATGAAATCATCACTTTCCTCAATTAAGCGGACTCCAGGAATAGGTATATTTTTCACTGTAGCTGCACGCATATTCCGATTATGGCATTCTTCATACATCTCCTTGAATATAACCCACTGGTTCCTGTCAGGAAACTCAAGGACCCAATCCTTTCCACCTTTCCACATCATGGCATGGGTATAGCGGTTGGTAGACCCAGGCTGCAAAACATGATCAACTTTGTGAGAGTATTTTGTAACCCCAGAAACCCTAACCGCTATCCTCCACTCACTTTGATCCACAAGTTCCAAAACAATACGTGCCCCGCATTCTCTCCACCCTTTATCCCCGAGTGTGACTAGAACATTTGCATCACAAGCCATCAACTCCAAATCTTTCTGAGACCTGATCAAACCTTCTGGAACCCTCTTCTCAGTAGACTTCCAAATACGTTTGTGAGAGAGAGATCTCGGGTTCAGACTTTTGTACTTTAAGTGAGAATCATAGCCCCCTCCAGGCATCGAATACCGCATCCGTGTGCGAGGCTTCTTTGGCCCACTACCAAAGCCATTACCAACAAATACCGATTTTCCGTCAGCCAAAGTAGGTGAGAGATCCCCAAGGGGCGAACTCGAGTCATTTCTATCACGACGCCATGACCTTCTAAGACAGGTTTGGTATGGGCTCTGGACTACACCATCACTACTATTCCCAGCCAAATCAGAAACATGTTTGGAGATATTCACCTTCCCATTAACAGGCTTATCAATGTGATCAGAAGATGGAAGTTCAATACTCAGAGTGGCCAAACTAGAATACCGTTCCGATGACACAGGAGCAACAACTTTCTGCTTGGACTCCTGTTTGCGGGACACACGCTTCTTGGGATATACAATTCCCTCAGCGGCATTCATTTCAAGATCCATTGAACTGGATGAATCCAAGACAGCTATGGATTTAGCACAATCAAGATTTTGAGCTGATTTCGTATGAGCACCTTCACCCTCCTCTGAATTGACAAATCTTACTGAGTGAGAACAAGTTGAATACAGTACTTCAGAATCAGTGCAAAACAAACTAAAACTCTTATGAATGTTAGAAGTACCTTTAAAATTTCCTTGGCAAGATTCATGGACTGGGGAGTGTACAGCAGCTGGCTCAATAGCAACCAATGAATTCTCAAGAGACCTCTGAGAACTATCATCCTGAAGGCCAATGCTAGCAAAATTACGTTCCATGAGCAGCTGCAAATGCAGACTAAGAAAGAAAGTAGGGGCAGCAGTGAAGGGAAGAGCAAATGTTGGAATTTGGCCGCTCTTTATGGAACTATGAACAGCAGACCGAGTTATCATTTTACTTGAAAATTCTCTTGTCGGACCCAGAGGTAAAAGGTCTTTCATTAATCTCTTCTGCAAAAGAAAACATTGACCCAGTTAGCTATGCCATGATCAGATTCAGAATTATCATCCACCACATCAACATTTTAGCCTTCTGCTATAACCCAACAGTTACTGACACTCAAGGAAGATACAATAGATTAAAGTTCCCATGCCTAAAAGGCCTGATATCTCATTCCTTTATCGTGTTTGAAAGACAAAAGTGAAAGGTTTGCCAGCTTTCCAAATTTGGCATACTTTCCAATATCACTATCTACAAGAAAGACTAAATGTAGGTATAAAGAAGTCCTAATAACATTTAAAGACGTCCAAACAAAATAAAAGGGTAGCAACCAAAGCTTCATTATCATAGAATACTATAGAACTGGCTGTTCAAATGAACTTGGAAGAAGAATTAACAAAATAGTATAACCGACCTTAAACGGGAAGTAACCTGGACCATCAGCGGGTGTATCCGATTGATAGCTTCCATGTTCAAGTGTCCTGATGTTGTCATATGTACATTCGGAAACAGGCAATTGTCTGCTAAATAAACAATGCCGCTGCAGTTTGGAATCCAAATAAAGCCACTTCGACTGTTTCAGCTTCGAGAAGCTATAAAATGCAAATTCTTTTTGCTTTCTTAGATCCCGCGTAATGGAAAGTTTAAACCGAATTGAGGTTATGGGTAATTCCGTGTCGAAGAACTTCCACTCTCCTGAAGATTGATTAAATACAGTCAGAATGAGGGAAAATAACTCCACAGCCAATTTCAGGCAGCCTTCAAAAAGTAGGAACCTCAGTCCAATTATGTTATCAACAAAAAGCATCTCCAAAGAAACCTCGGGCCATGTAGTCATCATGACACCATTATGATGTCGAAACAAAGAATGTGTGTATGCTAAATGACCTAAATGATCTGCTAAAACAGAGCATTCCTGAAATGGCAAAACAGGTAAGCAGACATTCAACCTGAAACCTTTCAATTCCCCCAGCGGGACCCTCAATTTTAGCAGACCTTGATCGTCAAGTGACCACAACTTCTCATCAAACTTCAAGCAGACCTTGTAGTCATCGGACCCTTCCCATAAGTGCAACCAGTCCTCATCATCAGCATATGACATAATATTTTGGACTGGAGCTACGCGTGATTTGTTGTTTCCACGTAAAGGAGAGAATCCTTCACGCCTCTTGTTCAAGCGCCTCCTCACATAAACAACAGGTTTGCTACCATTGGAGCTACTAGGACTTCCCAACAAAGAACTTTTCGCCCTCTCACCATCAGTAGAATTGTCCGGCAATGAAGCTTCATAATAGGATTTATTTCCATCTCTTGCAAAACAACCCACATCTGTGTCTGTATCATCACTTCTATGTGACTGACCTGAAAGTGACAACTGTGGCGTTTTCTGTTCTTTCAAATGACCAGGAGTTGCTCGATGAGAAGAACGAGGCAACCAAGATATGATTGGTTCAGAGTCCAAATATCTTCCTTCATAACAGCCATCATCTTCCCTGTCTTTCTTTCTTTTATCCCCGGAGTTCTCATATGCCCGAAATTTTCTCTTCTCAACTCGACCCGGAACCTCACTGGGAAGAAGCAAGAGCTTAAATTTCTCATTTTGAAGATCAATCCATTCCTCATCCCTATCATCATACTTGATATGATGGAGCTTTATTTCAGGGTTATAATCATTTACAAGCCCGAAATACCAACTTTCATCCAGTGGCCAGAAAACCTTAATCCTTCGATTCAGAAACCAAGACGCATCCAAATTGTTGGCAATTATTTCATAAAAATGACGGCGTTTCCTGGACTGGCCCTTGTCATTGAGCTGTTTTCTTGGTCTCAATACTCTGTTAGCATCTTTAGATTTTGAACTGCGCACAGAGCCCCCTCTTCTGCTGACAGAAGATCCAGAAAAAGAAGTGGCATTGTTTGATAGCCTCCCAGAACTTATATCTTCTGCTATAAAACCCGTGCATTTGGGATCAAATCTAGAAGAAAGCATCCGCGCTGCATTCTGCTCAAGCTTCTCCTCATCATCATCGTCGTCTTGGAAGTCATCAAAAGCCATAACATGATTTTCCACGGAATGCTCCACTTTCTCTTGGACAGTTTCATTGCCTGATGCCATATCCATTCTTTTCTTACGCTTCCGCTGGCGTTTTCTGCAGGATGTATTGCCATTATTTACAACATGATCACCATCTTCCTCCTTAGCACACTGCAATGAACTTAATTTACCAATCCTAGATTTTTTCATTTCACCAGCCTTCTTTCCCTCCTTCAGTTCAGCACCATTACCCTTCATTACACCACCATTCTCAATTTCCTTCACTTCAACACCATTCTCACTTTCCTTCACTTCACCAGTAGTCCTACTTTCCTTCACTTCACCACCTGTCTTACTTTCCTTCACTTCAGCAACTATGGTATTTTCCTTCACTTCACCAGCCATTCTACTTTCCCCAACTTCACCAACATTCCTACTTACCTTCAATTCCCTCGTGTTCCGTTTCCTCGTTGATTTGGGAACACCAACATTATCTCCAACACCACTGCCTGACTTAGAAATTTTATCATCAGAAGCTGGCTCAGCGCTAGACGAACCAGAAGATTCCACCTTCCTAAGCTCCCCATTCGACCTGGCACCCTGACTAACAGAACTATTTGGTCCTGATGACTTAATAGACTGATTTCCTTCGGTCTTCTTCCGTCCCACAAAACCCCTTGGCCTTCTGGGAACACGAATGACATGTCCAGATCCACCTAAGCTCAGAGCAAGTCCGTTTAACCCATTCTTGCGACTCAAATCTGTTAAGGGCCGACCAGAATCAACCGAAACCAGGCCTGGTTGCACATCAACGGCCCGCCCCTCATCGACAGTCTTCTTACTCTTTTTAGTAACTGGCTCTACGCCGGCCAAAGCAACCTCATTTCCACCATTCTTCCTCTTCTTCTTCTTCTTGTTTTCACTGCCATCCTTAGCCTCCCCGCCATTCTGAACCGGGAATTTCTCAATTTTAGGGAGACCCTCTTTTGAAACCTTTGATTTATATATACTTTGAAGATCCAAAGATTTGGTTTTCTTGGCTACCCCCAGACCAAGAACAGCAGAAGTATTTCGTATTCTACTTTCCATCAACAAATCCGTCAATCCGACCACTTAATCAAAAAACACCCAATTTTCACATCCCTCATCTTCACTCTAAATTATCCAGATCTGCCACATTCGGAAAAAAAACACACACACACAGACACATTCTAAGTATAATCACAATTCGTCCCAACTAAAAGAAGAAAAGCAATCCAATTCAACTAAAAGCCCCTTGATTTCATCAAAACATGCAATCATTCCTCCAATTAACCGATCATACCCATCCGTAACACACCCAAAAAAAAAAAAAAAAACCCAAATCACAAGGCGTACCTGTTGTCCTCGATACTATCGACCCGCGAGAGTGAAGAGAACAAGATCACAAGCAGACATGAAACGTTCGTGAGTTTGAATTTGAGAATTTTGGGAGGAAGAGTCTGATTTGAAACCCTAAATTGGTTTTGGACGAATTTTTCAAGTACTAAAATTTTTTTTTATTTTAAAATTCCTTCTTTTAAATTTTTCTTAGAGAGAGATAGACACAAAAGAGGAGAGAGAAAAGAGCTTGGTAGGGTTTGTTTTGGGTCACGAGAAAATGAGGTGTTTTTTTTATTTAATAAATTAAACCGAGAAAACATGAAAAATAAGCTGAAATATTGAGATGACGTGGGAATCCGAAAACCGTTCGATCTTAATTTGTACGGTGATGATCGGTCCTGAGCTGTTACTGTATTAATAAATTGACGGTAAAGATTTCTTTCCCGAGAGCATCGACGGCTGGAAATTGGAGTGGTTTTAGATTTGTTCCACTCTTAACCGACTCAGAAAATCAGATTCTATATTGCCGAAAAAGGGATAATTTCATTTTTTTCCTTATTGAAGTCCTTCATTTGCCCCCCGTACCCTTCAAATTTACTTAAATACCTGGCACCTTTCAAAAAAGGCAGAAGGTTATGACGCGCCATGAAAGGAAAAAACGTGGCTTACGCGCACGGCTTCCTGGCTGTATTTACACTCGCGCTCCGGGACTGACACGAGAGTATATAACGTGAAGTTTTGCTGAGTTGTTTACTTGTCGAATCTAGGAGGGCAATTTAGTAACACTGTAGCGCGTGAGATTGGTTAGATTTTTTAGCTAGAATTGTTAATATTGACGTAATCAATGGAAAAAAATACTTTAAAAGTACAGTAACAGATGGAGTTCTACGACCGCACCATATACTTCCCCCCAAAAAAAATAAAATAAAATAAAATAAAATCAGAAGAATCTGTCACAGCATTAAAACATTATCTTTTAGCTAATACACTAATTACTCCAACTTGAAAATTTACATTTATTCACAATAAAATAAAAAATTTACATTTACTCCACTGTGGAGCGTAGAAATTATTGTATATAATTTTTAATTATATTAATTTACGTTGAGTTTACATCACCCATATTTGTGCATAAATACAAACTTTAATTCCACAAATGGTATATTGCCAAAAAGTTTTTCTGTTAACAAAGTGATCATAAATTAATTTGAGTATGTTAATACTTTCAAAATTATTTTTTTATATTAATATATATGTAAGATTGAGAATAAAATTTTAAAAAAGTGCTAACCACCAACGAAAAAGTTGTAATTTACTCATCAAAACTTGAAAGGTTTCAAAAGAAAAATTTATAATCACTTATATTTGTGCTAAAAATTTATTTTATAGTTAGAAATACTCTCGTTCCAATTCATTTTGTAATAAACCTTTCTCAAGTGACCCCGTTTATTGACGTACTATTGAGCAAATATACTAATTGAAACAAATGATACATGCATTTCATATAGCCACAAAAAATAATACATTTTATATTTGTGGTAAAACTATTTATTTTTAATTAGCCCTTTTCAAGTTATCCTATTCTCATTCATCTTGTAATAAGCCTAATGATCTCCTACAACCCTTACTAACCCACCATTTAAAATTTTTACATTTTACTACTTAATTACTAACTTTCATTCTTTAAAAATTTTACTAACACTCAAACCAACCTTTAGATATACTCATCGGGGCCACGTGTCAAAATCGTGGTAAATGATGTTGGAAATGGTATAAAAGTATGGTGTAGGAGTTCTTTTTCCATATAATAAACCTTTCCCAGGTGACCCGTTCAAAATATTATTGAGCATTTCTAGTACTCTTAAAAACTAATACATTCATTACATATAGCAGTAAAAATCTTACATTTTTATCTATTTTTAGTATAATCCGCCATAATATCTTTGATACCTTCATTTATGTGCCAAAAAGAGAAAGAGTCAGAAAGATTTAGTAGGAAAGTGGAATAGACTTTTTCTATATAAAAAGTCAAGGGAGTAGGTCCTCTGACTCCCAGTCGGGTTGCCTTCCCAGGTCTCGCCGGTGTTGTCTGTTGGTTGTGATGTGCCTTGAGATGGCCGTCTCCTGTCCTCGTGCCGGTAGGGAATCCGCTCCAGTGGGTTAATATAAAATCATCACATGGCATCTCTGGCCAACAACGCAAACAACACACGCCACCTCTGGCCCAAAACACCACCTCATGCCCAAGACGCTCAGTAGTACTTTAAGCAGATCACTTGGAAAGGGTTTGTTACAAGGCAAAATAGCTCCTACACCATAATTTTACACCACTTCCTACATCATTTACCAATATTTTGACACGTGGTTCTGACGGGTTCATCCAAGCGTGGGTTAGGATGTTAATAAAATTCTTAAAAAAGGAAAGAAGTAATTAAATAGAAAAATGATACTAAGAACTTTGATCGTACAGAGGCGATTGTACAGACGCCACTAACACATGTCCTTTGATCGTGATACTAAGAGCTTTTGAAGTAAAAATTAAATGTTGAAATGATTAATTTATTAATTTTACTAGTCGTTTCTAAGGTAAATAGTTAACATTTTATGTTTACCATTTACTTTAATTACTAATTACTAATTTACCTCACCTTAATCTAGTAACACAATGATTTAGACAGGTGTCAGTCAATTATTAGACACTCAATAGCTTATAATAACACGTCATTAATTTATTTGTTGATTATTTAATAGTAATTTTAAACAGTAAAAGAATTAATATTTATCTTTTACTTATTACCTACAGAAAATTACTATCAACTTAATATTACAAATTGCAGAGCATTGAATGCCGATGATCAATTCCTTTCATCTCACCAAATTAAGATGACCGATGATTTCACCATCAATACCTATCGGCCTATCTTCCCTACACAACTCTAGATTGGTAACTTGCGGATCAGCAACTCAGTGGACTTCTGGTACTTACCTTGATCAATTTTTGGATCATCCAACACGAGGAGAAATTTAATTCTGAAGATTAATATGATGAAAGTTTTCGATAAGATTGCTTGAAACTTTCTCAATCGAATTTTATCTAAGTTTGGATTTAGTTCACGCTTTACATCTTTGGTGTTGATCAATATTCATGATAACTGATACTTAATTGATCATGTTTACACATATTTGCAACTTTGACCATCAAGTTTGACAAAATTTATAAAACTTACACCATAAAAATTAACCGTCATCCCTGGGCCCATCAACTTCATCTTTATTCTTCTTTATATACTTTTGATATCTTCCGGCATGAATTTTTATAAATTTTTTTTACGTAAATTCAAAATTTAAAGCCTTATGATAATTCCCGTTCAACAAAATATCAATCTTCTCTCAACAAAATCCCCAAAAATCTAGAAAGTTTTTAGATTATAATCTTAGTAGTTAGTAAAAAGATTATACTCTTTTTGTCACTGCCAGTCTAAGAGACTAAGAAATTAGTTCCTTTGGGATTCGACTCGGTACTGCTACTACTGCAAAATTCTTGTAGTTCGGTAGGAATATCATATTAATTTTAGGTGCCTCGACAAGCTTGTCACAATTTCTTCACATTTTGACTTTGTTTTGTGCCAAAAGGAGTTTTTCGATAAATTTGTGCCCCTTTGCTTTTATTTTCCCCTTTCTTCGATTTCCTGTCCATATCAAATACTCCCTCTTTCCCAAAATTATTGTTTGGGTTAGATTTTTATTTTTAGTTTAATTTATTCTAGAAATGAACATCCAAACTGGACAATAATTTTGAGACAGAGGAAGTAGTATATTCATTTGCTTTGAATTTACGTGCGGGGGGCGAACGCATTACTCTAAATAAAAATATTTTAAAACTTAAATATATTCTTATTAGTTTTATTTATTTTCTCTTATTAATATTATTGTAACTTTTTTACTTTCTATTAGGATTTTTATTTTTCACATTAGACAAACTACATCTGAGATTTTTATTTTAGTTTAATTTGTTCTAGAAATGAATATCCAAACTGGACAATAATTTTGAGACAGAGGGAGTAGTATATTCATTTGCTTTGAATTTACGTGCGGGGGGACGGACGTATTACTCTAAATAAAAATATTTTAAAACTTAAATATATTCTTATTAGTTTTATTTATTTTCTCTTATTAATATTATTGTAACTTTTTTACTTTCTATTAGGATTTTTATTTTTCACATTAGACAAACTACATCTTAGTTTTATTTTGATAATTTAAGACTGGGGTTTTTTTTTTCTAAATGTGGGAAAACCCAACTTACATACTCCAGATGGGAATAGACCCCTGAACCTCTAAAAAGTCCACTTAGAACTTGTAAAAATAAGGATAACACAGATATCCACATATTTATCTTTAATTTCATAAATCCACCTTCAAAATCAAAATACCATATCAATATTGTATGTTTACATATGATAATTGATTAGATTAATTTAAAAGGAAAAAATGCAGCTTTATCCATATTTACAATTTCAAATTTCCCGTGTCAATCTATTAGTTACTCAAGAAAATCTCATAAATCACTCACTCCATCCACGCACCATAGATCATTCTCCATAATTTTAGACAATTTAAAAATAGATCAATGGTTAATCTGGGTTTATTAGTATAACGCAGACATCATCATTCATAGGCATCATCGTTTATTGCCGTCATCATGGGTAAATATCCAATTATTTTGTGTTTAATTATTTTACTGATTTTGATAAATTTTTTAAAATTTTATGGACATTGGCTCGCTTACGGTTGTGAACAATTTATAGGGTTTTTTTTTTTTTCCTTTTTCTACTTTCAATCATTTACTTCTCTATTTTTTTTAGGTCTACAAATAACCAATTTATTACCGAAGTTTAGCAACAACATATGAAAATGTTTATGATTAGGACTAAATGAAAGCCATCGATTACTAAAATTAGGCTGATGGGAAAGTGAATAGGATTCATGAGTCATCAATTGATAGGTATTTTGAATTGGTTTTGTTTATAATCACGAATATGGCTGCCGGATAACATTTCATCAGCATCTAATGGCTAAAGGCTTATTTATTTTCATTTCTTACGGATGGTTTAAGGGCTACATCCCCTCATTTGTTGTCATCTACTCATCTCCACTCTCTATCCGTAAATTTCAGTTCTTTGAAAGTGATATAATTCGATTTTGATTATGGAATTACCCTAAAAGCTACTAATTTTCTATCAATTATGCGGGTTTCATCA